CGCATCTACTGGAGAGACTACTACCAGAGAAGATTTTACAGCCGTTGTAGGCCCTTCGCCTCCACTCCCTCCCACTCAACATGACATAAAGGGGAAAGGCCCTGAGGTCCCAACAGGTCCACACACAGCGAAGATGATGCGCGATAAACCTGCACTATCATACTTGGAAGGGGTCCTTTCAGGATCAAACCATCACGGGATCCGTGGCATGGTAACTCCTACGAAATTGTTTGGTGATTGCAACTCTGCAGAATCGCAAGCATGGCACCTTGGTGTCGACGTATCAACCCCAGCTGGCATTGAGGCATTTATCCGAAAGGTTATCGGTACTCTACGTGTTGCTAATGTTGCGCCAAAGAAGGCCCTAAACTTGGCTGGCCTGCCTTCAATTGTTCAGCAAGAGATTCAGAGTGGAATGGCTGCTGCCACTTCTACAACTCTAAATGCAGACGTAAGCATCCAACTCTGTACATGTACAGAGACACCACTAACGCTAATTGCGATATAGCTTCCAGTAACAAGCGAGGATGCAACAAGTATGGAAGACTTTTATAAGATGCAAAAGCTCTTCACGGGGGATGAGTCCCAGACAGGCCCTCCTCTCGATGCCTGCCTTATAATCGCAGACGCTCATTTCGATACATGGCATGATAAGGAGCACACTCTTGCCAAATATGTTCTACGGTCACTCCCAACAGTACAAATCCGGCCTCTTGGCCACCAGGTTACCGGGTTCTTGTGGATGATCCTCAAAGCTTACGGTTATACACACGCTCCAACAAAGGAAGGGCAACTTCAAGCCGACGAACTTCAAACAGCTCGCACATATGGCGGGGTACTTGTCGATAATATGGGCTTGGGGAAAACCTACACCTCATGTTTGTATCTCGAGTGGGTCATCCAGTTCTTTACACCAGAGACGCCAGGTAATTACAGACCGCACTTGATATTGGCGCCAGCTGGGCCGGTGATAGAGCAATGGAGGCTCGACATAACAAAGAACTTCAAGGGAATCAACCTGATCCTTGCATACGGGGACTCGCCACCAGACGGAGCTTCCTCATTACGGTGGATTTCATCCAAGGCAATGCGAAGCCACCCCCATAGTCCGAAGAAGTTTCCGGCCGGTCTCCGTTTTATATTTGACCAAAACAACCGAATGGCTGCCAAGACAGTAATCCTTACGTCTTATGACACGCTTGCCGCTCGAACACTTCAGAAACCGCGTCGACAGCCTGGCGATACTACCCAGTTTAAGCCGTCAGAATGGATTGGAAGATGGAAGGGTGTCTTTCACACCGTTATTATGGATGAAGGCCACAAAGTGCGAAATCCTCTAACTAACATCCATGTGGCAGTTGCAAGGTTGAACGCGCGGCATCATTGGTTTATTACTGGTACACCAATTCAGAATCAGAGCTCTGTAAGTCAGACCACTCCTGTACATGTACAGAGCTAGGCTAATTGATAAAAGGATATTCTTGGACCTCTCAACATTCTATGGCCTCAGATATCAAAGTCCCTCTCTTCGACAGAGGAGAGATCTACATGGGTAGATTCACTCAACGGCAATTACAAGGACTTCGAGCTCCTACTTCTGCCAGATGTACTGCACACGTCGTGGAAGAACCTCATCGCTACAGACCCTTATCGTGTCCGAACACTTATCAACAGTAAGGACAAGACAACTATAAACAAGTTGTACAGATGCTTGGAGCAATTGCTTCTCCTTCGTCGGTCAACTGCAACATCAATCCCTACGGACTGCCACGGAGGACGTTTGTCGCTGAAGAATCTGATGCCGCCGTACGAAATTACCACTGTCCAGCTCCGAATGAACTCAGCTGAAGCTGCTGAGTACCAGATGTTTCATCAGTCCTTTGTAAAGGATTACGAAGAAGGTCTTGCGCTGTGGACAGAACAGAAACAGAGCCGTATTGATCCATCGTCAGAGATCAAGAGCTTTCCTTGTGTGACTGGCCCATTGAGGAAGATGACAGTTAATGCAGTTTCGACTATGCTAAGTCGATTTCACGACACCCTGGAGAATACAACGGTACGAAAGAAGTGACTCGATGATACAGTGGCAACCATCAATATACTTCGTACACAGGGCTTTACAGGTTTACAACTGGCGCACGCTACTCTGCGAGCTGGCGATCGGTTAATCAAGGACGCTACTGACCTTCTTCGCCACCTTACCTTTGGTAGTCCGAAGCTGCGCTGGATTTTGAAGGATGTGACAGATCATTGTCTCAAACAGAAACCAGACGGAGGACGGAGCAAACTGTTGTGTTCCGAGGACATCCCAGTGTCAGCATGGTTTATCGAGACAGTTCTGAAGTCAGTATACATTCGGGCAGAGGTTCTGCATGCTGGCCTTACCGATGCCCAGCGCATTGCGCTTATTCAGGAGTTCAACAACCCCCACTCCAACCTTACGGTCTTGATTATGATGTACCAGGTCTCCTCGCAAGGCGCTAACCTGGATGGAGCATGTCATCGTGTGTGCTCGATTACCACAGCTATCAACCTGCCATCAGAGTTGCAGGTACACTATCGACCTATCAGAGTAAGTGCCCCCCTCTTACCTGGAACATGTACAGAGAAGAGGTCTAATCGTTATATAGGTGTCTCAAAAGGAAAAGGTTACAATTGTGAGGCTCTCGGTTGTGAATTCTCATGATGCCTGGCGCGAAACCAAACAGATCGACAAGAGCATTATAGATGTATTGACCAAGCTCCAATCACCTATGTCATTCCAGGCTATTGCAGACGCATTGATTAGCAGTCGGGATGAAGTGTTGGCTGCACACAATTCCAAAGAGGGCCGAAAGGCGTTGTGTGGCCGAAAGATCCTACCATTGAAGCTTCGCGCTTGGGGCGAGGTTTCTATTCCTAAGGATCCTAATTTGGTTTCACCAGAAGAGGAAGCCTTGCCAGCGGGTCGGAACATGCGAAAGCGGAAGCGTGTCCTACAAGAGCTTGAGAATACCGATGATGAAGTTGACGACCTATCTCATCAACTTGAATCTGCTGATCCAACCTATTCTCCTGCGAAATACGACACTGATAATGATTCCAACCACAGTAATGCGGTCTCTGACAACAGCGACGAGGGGGAGGGTATTACACCAGACGAATACATTTCGGACTTCAGGAAGGCCTGGGTAAAGTTGTCGCCAGAGGATAAAGCCCTTTATGATCAAGACGAACTTGACTTCCTTGTTCTCCTAAGCATGGATCCAGATCATCTATATACGGGTCAAGAGATTCAAGAGTCTCTTGACTCCGCCATCACTGAACGAGGCCTGCGACTCGTTATTGCCCACCGTTCTGGACAAACTAGGACTGGCATGAAGGTGTCACCCCACATCAAGTACAATGCTCTACTCAATCGCAACGAAGAGGATGACGGGCCGTTTTCTGCCCCAGTGTACTGCACTGCTACCGACAAGGATCGGAGTGCTGCACTCCGTCAGTTTGTAAGGGGCGAAGCTGCTACAGTGTTACGACGGAACAAGAAGGCTGGCCAACTACAGGACAGGAAGGAGGGAGGTCGCATGAGACCGGCCCTGGTACCTGGAGGGGCAGCGGGGAATAGTAGTTCCGAAAGTATCACGTGACGGAGTCGCAGGATGATGAGAAGAGTCCTAAGAGTCCAGGACTCCGAGGACTCGAGTGAGTTCCCAGGAGTCCACTAGGCACGTGATGGACTCGCAGGATGATGAGAAGAGTCCTAAGAGTCCAGGACTCCGAGGACTCGAGTGAGTTCCCAAGAGTCCACTAGGCACGACGCCACTATATAAGTAGATAGTATTTCCTTAGATAGGAGCTTCGTGCTCAACTCAATACAGTATTTGTTATATACTAGTAACGTGTTACTTGAAGCCTTTGTGTCTGATCCCCTGCCTCCTCTGATAAGTAAACCTTTACGCAAGAGAACCTCTGTGTCTTCTATCGTTTAGAAGTCAGCGTTACATACAGCAACTCCTATTACAGCGTTGGTAGAGGAGGTTGCTGCTGCAACCATTGGTGACCCTGCAGCCAGCTCTGAACATGTACAAGAGCTTGCTATACCAGAACTGATTCTTCCGTTGGACCCTCCGGTTGTCCATACCGAAGGAAAAGTCAGTGGGGATACCACGGATATTGATACCCATCTTTCCTCTAACAGCCCTTTGAGCGCTTGCCAAACCCCTTCAGGGTCAGGATAAAGCAAACAGCAGCAGAGTACTATTGTTGTTTGGTATATGGCCATTAGTGGAGGATCAAACGGTTACGTCTGGAATTACTTCCGACAGTGTATATTAGAATACAGTAAATAGAGAAAATGGATCCGATTCTCTCCTAGAACCTCCCGAAACTGCTTCCACTGTAAACTCTATATTGTAATGATATTATAACCCTGTATTATAGCCCTAACATACGCTCATACACGCTTCTGACTATGACGAAACTATTGTGTTACAATGTCAGATCTATTTTGTTATTATATCCCCAAGTATACTGTAATTTGATTCGCTCATATATACCATTTGGTATATATGAGCTTATCTAAGATACCAATAATAGTGCTGGAATAGCTCATTGTGGAGAGGTTGTGTGGGGCAACTAGTCCTGGAATTGTGCAGGCTCTATCACTCGGCCCACATATGCCCCATACAAGATTTACTCAGCATCCTATTGGACTCTGCTAGCAGGGTCAAAAAAAAACGGCCTCCGCCGGTAAGGTACGTTTCACTAAATGTAGTTGCCTGATTCTGCCTGATTCCTAGGGCCAGAATCATAAGTCGCGAATCGCGCGAGGTCATGATAACAACCATCCTTCAACATCACTTGTAATCGCCTGAGGTGTTTCCAACGCACCTCAGGCGATTATAACAACATGCTCCAAATCGCACCGCCCTCTTCATGACTATCAATAATGAACCACAATAGGCGCCGCCTGTTTGTTGCGCCTCTTTTACGGCACCTATTCGACGCATATATATTGCAAGATGTCGTCTGTTGCCTCTCCATCGTCACCCTCCAAGGCTAGGACACCGACGAGTACTTCCGAGGACGAAGACCGCATAATGCCTGGCCAGAACAGGTCTGTAGGGAGGACGGTGCACCTTTACAACTCTAATGACACAGAGACGGCGATTGGCGGCCTCATTGTTACGAACGGCGTGACCCACACGAACCTCTACCACATGGTGGAAATTATCCTCGTCGTTACGAGCGATTTCAGCCTCCGAAGTGGAGATGACAAGATCATTCCAAAAGGTGAGGCCCAAGTTAAGGCCGGAAAGTACTTCGTCTACTCTACGGGTAAGATTTATTTACTCCGGTATTAACAAGTTGCTAACTACAAGTGGAACCCTTCGAGCTGAACAACGAAACTCCGCTACTTCGCACAATATCACATGGGATTGGAACTCGCACTAAGGTTTTTTGCAATGAAGTACGCCAACGCGACCGACGCTGCGTCATAACTGGGCAAGAGGCAGTAGGAGCATATCGAGATCATTGGCGTGGGTTTGAAGCCTCACACGTATTTCCCATCGCCTATGAGGCTCAGTGGGAGGCGCAAAACTTAGGACGGTGGATTTCCATTATACCAGAGCGAGGTGGCTCTATTAATTCGGTGCAAAATGGCCTTCTCCTTCGAAGCGACATTCACCAGCTGTTTGATAGTTACGATTTTGCGATCAATCCTGACGTATGTACACACCCATTAACATGAAAGATGCAGCTAATTATCTTAGGATAACTACAAAATTGTTTTTTTTACTGAAGATGCTAATAATCTTGCCGGGACACACCTCGATCGAAGATTTCTTGATGATCCTCAGAGGGCCGTTGATCAGCTCTTAAGATGGCACTTCCGCCAAGCAGTACTTGTTAATATGAAGGGAGCTGGCGAACCTCATTTCGAGCATGACTATCCGCCAGGGTCAGATCTGATTGGTGATATTCTCAAAGGCCCGAAGGCCGCCAAAAGGATGCAGTTTGAGTTGTTCAGTCGATTCGCATTGGACTATGATGGGTTGTAGAAAAGCATGGCACGAATCGGCGGTGCCTGTTTTGAGCTGACTCGGATCTGACACAGTTTCACAACAAGCCACTAACCACCAGCACGCCCGCCGTCCTTATATTTTAGTTGACGCGGCAAGAATGAGAGTTTCCGGCTATATGCCGAGAGTATGTCAATTTGGAAGAATTCACACATGACTCTTACCTCTGAATTCAAATTACTCGTGCAAATCCCACCCTGACGACGCATTTCAGTCACTGTATAAGTATCACTCCAGAAAAGCAAGGGCATAGATCAAAAATCCTACATTTCCATATATACCCCTCCCCCCCTTTATATACAACCCACCCCCCCCCCCGTCCCTTTCAAACCCCCTCAAACAACCCCCCCTCCCTCCCCCTCCCTCCCCTCACACTCCCAACCCACTCCCTCACCCTCCCCACCACCCCCCAGCTCCCTTTCTTCACAATCCCCCTTCTCCCCCCCTCCATTTCATCCATCCACCTCGGTCTCCTCTAGAACTTCAACAAAAGACTGCTGCCGACGACACTAACACTACTAGCCGCCATCGCGGCCCCCGCAGCCATGGGATGGAGATGCATGCCCCACGGCAGAAACACACCGATCGCGAACGGCAATCCGACGAGGTTATACCCACGCGCCCACGCCAAGTTTAGTTTAATCCTCCCAAAGATCTCCTTCGCCAACGCCACTGCGCCGGGGATATCCATCAAATCATTTGGTCGCATCAGCACGATGTCCGCCGCCTCCATAGCGACGTCGGTGCCCGAGGCCATCGCAATCCCGATATCCGCCGTAGCGAGGGCGGGGGAATCATTGATTCCCTCACCTACCATCGCTACGACTTCGCCGGCGGCTTGGAATTTCTTAATCAGCGCATGTTCCTGGTCCGGTGAGACGTCCGCGTATACGTTTTCGGCGGGGATCCCGACGGCGGCGGGGGCGGAGGGTTTGAGGGTGTCGGCGAGGCAGATGTGACCGCTGTAGACGCCGTTGATGGCGCTGAAGATATTTGTTGTCCCCGAGGAAGCAGTGGGTTCAGAGGAGGTGGTGGCGAGGGCGTTGATGTCTTCCGAGGCTGTGATGGCTGTCGTGAGAGCGCAGGAAGCGGACGGAGCCGATGAGGACCCTGTAGCGCGTACGGGAGACCGAAGCAGGCTCGACGAGGGCGTTGATCCCGAGTCCGACGACGGGCTGGAAGTCCCCAATTGACCCATCAAGGGTCATCTTGCCCATCGTCAGGGTCCCGGTCTTGTCGAGCCAGAGGCTAAGGTAGCGCGGATAACTCTTCAAGAGACTCAGTACAGCAGATAACCGAAGCACAGTTGAAATACTCGTAGCTGTTGCTACTATGTTTGTGCTCGCTGTCGTGCTCGTTATTGTCATGCCCGCCATCACCTTCTATACACGACTCACTGGTGAGTTTGATTGTTCGGTGATGGGGTTACACAGGTCTGTATCTTCAAGTGTCTGAGTAGGCAACAGCGAACTATATCATGGGGCGGGCATGACGTGTGAAAAGGTTAATTCTTCCCTTCCCTTCACTCTACCTCCATCTTTACCCCTTTATCACTCGGACAAGATGTCGCGGTTGGGGGGTATGACGCGGAGAACGGGCAGAGCCTCGGATGGTTCTCGGCATTTCAGCCGGTGTTGTTCTCCCATGTCAAATGACCAGGTCACTGCAGCGATCGATTCGGCATCGCAGGAGCTTGATGCGTGGCTGTCGGCTTTTCAGATGCATGATAATTCTGGGTTGGATTGGTTGGATTGGTAGAGGAAAGTTTATGACATGGGATGATGAACCCGACGTGTTACTGTGACAAGTGATTTATGTTTATGAATCTCCCTGCTTAGCAGTGACAGTGATTGTGGACGTGAATCTATATCTATAGCCAACGTGTTACTGTAGCAGCGATTGCTGATATGAATGTTTCTGCTCAGCTCCTATGATAGTGATTGTAGATATGAATCCCTCTATTTAGTTCCCTACGTAGTAAGCTCCGAGTCACATCCACCAAGTCATAGTCTAATCAATGTTGCCTATCTATCAGGCACTGGACACATGTGCGGACATAGCTATAAAATGCCTCCGACCACAAACACCGTCCATATCAAGACAGGCCGCCCAAACAGAGCAAGAAAAACATGGGGTGGTGCTAGGATCACGCCCGTCCCAGTTTCAAACGCCGGTATCACGCCATGGAACAAATCCCTAGTCCCATCTGTCATTCCTCACCCGCTCATTTCACAGTCGTGGACTCCCTCAGCCCGCTCGCTAGCCCCTTCTGCCCCCTTCTCCCCAGCAACGTCGCGCCATCGAGATTCAACTCGAACGCCCCCCTCTGATTCTTAACCTGCTGCCTCGCAGCTGCAGCCACAGCGGGTGAGTGCTGTCCATATCCCTTCGCCTGTGGTTGTGCCTGCTGCCTCGCCGTTGCCGCAGCACTCAGACTTGTATTCCTCAGACCCTGCTCAACACCTTGCATGCCCCCCTCATTCTCGTCCCCAATAGGCTCTAGGCCGCGGCCCATGAGACTCTTGCGGCGCTTCGCCTCCTCCTCCTGGCGATGCACGGCGTAACCAACATCGAACACTTCACGTAGGTTGACCGCACCAGGTGAGCGGAAGTCCATGCGGCGCGCCCCTGGCGACTCAAGGAGCTCGCGGTCAAACGCGCGCAGAGGCTCCTTGCGCTCGGTGGCAGGTGTGGCGAGAGGTGGGGCGTCAAAGGCCGCGTGCGTCGGCTCGGCAGTATTCTTGATCCAGGGGTGGGCGAGGAATTCCTTGATGGTGTATCGCTTCTCTGGGTCGACGGTGAGTAGGTGCGAGACAAGATCCTGAGCGGGCTTGGAGATGTCGTCCCACCAGGGAGAGAGGAATGTGTACTGTCCCTTTGCAACCTTCTCCGTGAGGACCTGGATGCTCTCGTCGTAGAAAGGAGGGAATCCGCAAAGTAGAGTGTACAGAACGCAACCCATCGCCCACATGTCGACGCTCTTGGAGTAGCGCTCATCCTTGACAATCTCCGGGGCGGTGTAGCCGACTGTGCCGCAGGGTGTCATGGTCTGGGTATCCCATACGATCTTTGACAGACCAAAGTCGGCAATCTTGATCTTACCGATGCCGCCCGAACCAACGCCAGCGGTGAATTCTCCCTCATCAACCTTGTCCTCTTCCTCATCGGACCTAAGCTTTGGGTTCTTGGTTGGAATGAAGGGAATGGGGCTAAACAGTAAATTCTCTGGCTTAATATCTCTGTACATCTGTTAGATCTACACACCAACTCGCATCCATCGTACTCACCTGTGCACAACACCCTTCTCCTCGTGCAAGTACTCCAGCGCCTCGGCTACCTGTGTGATGACATGCCTAGACAAATCCTCGCTGAAGTAGGTCAGGCGGACGATCTGGTGGAACAATTCTCCTCCCGGTGCGAGCTCCAGGATGATATAATAGTACTGCTTCGACTCGGAGAAATCGATGAGCTTCACGATGTTGGGGTGGTCTAGTTGCCTCATGATCTGGACTTCCTTTAAAATGTTCGCTCTCTGAGGCCATGGTCAGTACGTGGCCGTCGTACGCGCTTACGTCCGACAAAGCATCAAGACGTGGCACGTAAGCAGATTAACAGGCGGAAATAATGCGCACCTCAGCAGCCTTTGGTTTCTTGAAATCCGGATGAAGATGATCATCACCCTACACCAATTGTTGGCCAGTGCTCAGAAAACAGGGAGTATAGAGAGTATGTGTCAGGAAAGATGTGCATACGTGCCCGTGCTTACCTGAGATGAGTTCATCTCGAACTTGCGGACGACCTTGATGGCCACCTCGCCCGCGCTTCCATCGAGGTCGACGGCCTTGTATACATTGCTGAATGCGCCGTCGCCCATCTTCTCAATGAGGCGCCATCTCTCGAGGCCGGGGTACCGCGGCAGCTTCCCCTTCGACTCATTGTCTTCGGCAACCATGCGCGCGAGCGTGTCCGGGTCTACCTTCTTTCCACCTGCCTTCCTGTTTGCGTCATCTTTCTGTGCCTGGTAGGCCATGTTTGCCTCCTCTGCGCGTTTTTGTGACACGGTGGACTCGGTATTCGCAGATCGCTGTTGATGCGCAGTGACGGGTGATACGTGGGTTGTTGGTTCGGCTTGAGGCTGGGTCACTCGTGCGTGCTTCCCTACATTGTCGTTTTGTCAGAAGGTTTGGTCTTCACGGCAGGACGGAATGCGGGGGGTGTCAGGCGCAAAGTGTCAAACTCACCATGCTTTATGAAGGCCTTGAGCGTCTCCATTCGAACCTTTTTGAGGGGTGGGGCAGGTCCGGGTATTGGAGGTGAAGTCGGCCTTTGTCGATAACTGTTTAGTGGGGATTGGAGGGGAAGTTGATTGTTAAGCGAGCTTGGGAGTGGTGGCGGTGCTGGTGGTGTTTCGCACAGGCAATGATCGCCGGTCGATGACGGAGATGTGAGGAAATGCAGGCGTACAGCGGCGGCAGCAACGGCGATAGGTTGGTGGTGGATGATGAGTGCAGGTGAGTTGCAGATTCGGCCTGTTTTAGTTCGATATATCGTCAGCGGTTTCGTTGACGCAAGAGACGGAGAGAGGAGTCTAGAAGTATATCGGGGATCTGGCTGACTTGATGGGTAGGTCGAGGGAGGAAGATGTCGGCGGGTCTGTCGGCGAGTCTGTCGGCGAGTCTGTCTACAACAGTGTAGTTTATAGCGCAATGAGAGGTTGATGGGGGAGAAAAGTTGAAAGAGAACTGGAGGAAGCGGCGGGGGAGTGGTGATGTTCTCAACGATTCTCGCGTATTTCCTGGATTTCCTGGATTTCCTACTACGCCGGGGGTCTACGCCTTACCGGATTGGATAAGAAATATTGAGAAAGGGCGGAGAAGGCGGAGAAGGCGGAGAGAGGAGAGAGGGGAGAGGCCAAGTTTGGTTTGTGACCAAGGCACAGCGGCGGCTGGTGACATCATCACCGCCGACGAAAAATATCAGTATGTTATAGATAGTTGTATCTAGGGTCCTGATCTCCAGCCACACTCCCCGTGACCTATAAGCTGTAAGTTCTCATACGTGTGGTGAAACTTGGTGTATATTCGGTTTTTCTAGAAATAAACAAACCCCCTACTTCACAGCCCACGTCGTATCCATATCACTGCATACACACTACCGGCCATGAAATACAACTTGCAAACAACCCGTGTGATATATAACTCCAACCCAGATCTCCCCCACCTGTTATAGTCAATCCCCCTATCACTCATTAGATCAGGCCCGCCCTAGCCGCCTCACCCCCTCCATCCGCCATAACCTCCTCTGCCCGCGCCTTTCCCCTCCCAATGCCACCCTCACCAACCCCCATTCGGCGAGCCACGTACCGCTGCGCCACAATACCGACAGCCAGGCTGATCACCTCCTCTATCCACTCGGCCACCCATTCGCGCGGATCCACGCCGCCCGACCCAATGATCTCTGCAATCTCGCGCGGCATGTGGGGGCTATACTTGTCCTGCGAGAAGGAGTGCTCCTCTGCAGACAGTGACGACGGCGACGCAGGCGTCATTGGCGACGGTGCATCGAGCCAGGCGATCCACTTTGCCGGCACGGTTTGCGACACGCCAGAAAATGTAATCCCATGCACCGGGTCGTGCAGGTAAACCGCGAATGAGATCAAGTTTTCCGGCTTCTCCTCCTCAGCGACTGCATCGGCCTTCTCATCCGTTGCAGGTCCCTGGAACATATCTGCCTGCGCCTCGTGCGAGATGGCCTGCACGGCGAGGAAAATGTCGCTGCTGCGGACGGGGTTGGACTCGCTGAGCTGCTCCGTGGCGCGGCGGGCGGCTAACTCGAGGCCACCATGCGAGGCAAAGAACTCGGTCGCGTAGGCCTCGGCGCTGACGCGGACGAGCTTGGTACCCTCAACCAACCCAGGGACAGCACCCAGATCGCGGTGCTCATTGCCCTGGCGCCACCAGGGGCCATCGTACCATCCCGTGCGGCCACCCGTGTATGCTGCATCGGAGGTGCGCCGGGCAGAGGACTCGTGGCCACGCTGGATGACGAGAAGATCGCCTCCCTCAACTTGTGCCATCACGCGCGAGAAGGTATTGTAGATAAGGGGGTCGAGGGAGGGGTACCCAATGAAGTCGTGCGTGATGTGGATTTGAAGACGCTCGTGCGACGAGATGGGCGGAGCGATGGTGTGTAGGATGTTGGCAAATGTTGGGAGGGCTCGGGAGCTCAGCTCACCACCTGTAGCCGTTAGGAGTTATTCATTATAGTCCTGGGTTCTCATACCAAGTCCTCGTAGTGCGCCCACGTTGCCTTTGACCTGCTCGGCCCAGCGCTTAGCTTCCTCATTCTGCTGGATCTCCTTCACTGCCGCCTCAGCCGTCTTCACCGCAGCGCTGGCCGTGGCCAGAATGCCACCCCACCATCCGCCACCAGCAGCGGCTGGCTCAGCAGCCGGCTCGGCAATTCGAGACTTCTTCTCGGCCTCCTGGAGCTCGCTGCTTGTCGCCGAGGGCGTGAAGCTCGTGTGGTATGACCTAGCGCTCTCGCCCGACTTCCTCTTATCCTCGCTCGATCGCGTTGATGTTTGCGGAAGGGGACTGCCCACCGGCGTGCGCTTGGTGGGAGAGCTGGTGCCGCCAACGGGTGTTGCGATTCGTGGCCTGGCATCGGGCTGTGGCTTACCCAGATCCTCCAGCTCAGCCAGCTCAGCCTCTATCTCCTCAGCGGTCTGCGCGCGGGCAGGCTTCTTCGTCTTGGACGCATCGGCCTTGGTAGTGGTGGCAGGCAGGTCCTCTCCCTCCAGCCCCTCGAACATCTTCTTGAGCTCGTCATCGGTCGCGGTCTTTTCTTTCCTGGCTGCCATAGTGTCGTGTTGCTGTTGTGGTGCACTTCTCGACAATGAGCCAGTTTATTAATGTGTTGATATGGAGCTGTATTGAATGTGAATGTGAATAGTATGGGGCTCTCACAGAGGACCACAATACTAGTACGACGACTAGGTCACTTGTACTTTCTCATAGTTCGTTGTATGGGATGGTACAACTGGCACGTAAGCGAGGAAATAAATAGAAAATGAAAATCGTTGATTGGCTGTAAGCGATTTTGGGTTTTAAGGAGGGAGGCTAACCCAGCCAGATTACCCGAACAGGTGAAATGATACTAAAAGTTGTCAATTCACTGCTTCAACTGCTTTCATCTGTTCATTTACAGACTCACCATCCTTCAACCACCCTATTCTACACCATAAATGATCCTGTATATAGTTCTATAGCCTGTCGACATCGTTTCCATGTCTCTATTTCTCGCGTCTTATCACGGCCCACGAGGAAATTACAGCATGGACGCCACAGTCGCAGAAGCCCAGGCTTCAATGACCTGCCCAAATTGCCACGCTGGCTATGATGCTGCAGACCTTCAGGTATGAATTTATCACTTTCTTTCAACTACTGGCTCAGTCACGTGTTTGTTTGTTTTTGAACGTACTGACACGAATAGCAATACCGCGATCATGTTGAATCATGTGTCCGCCCAGGCTTGGCTGAAAGTGATGATGAATCCGCAGCCAGCCAACTGAGCAGCCCCCCAGCATCTGTCGGCGGTGAAGACTCGCGTCTCCCACCAGCTTATTCTCTCACCGAGGTGGAAATTTATCCTGAGCGTAGAGAGCTCGATGAAGATGAAGAGCCTCTCCCGGAGTTTCGCTTGGCCAAAATTACTGATGTCGAAGTGTTCGGGGACAACTTGGCTGATTGTGAAAACCTCCCAATTGACGAGCACTATCGGCGTATTCTCAATGCCCAGAAGGCACTGGTTGAGTATCAAGATGAGTGGCTCGAGCTTGAGAAATGTGTCAAGGCGTATCGCCTCCCTAATATGATCTCCATTGAAGAGGACCTTGAAAGGGAGCGCGGTAGAGGCAGAGGTGTCCCCAAGGAGGTCGCAAAGCCTGCTCAGAAGGTCATCAACCCAAGAGCACTTCCAGTGCGAAATGACGACCCGGAAAAATGGTTCTACACCGATGATTTCCAGCTTATGCAAGATCGACTGGAAGCATCAGTTTACGGGTACATTGTGAAGGAGGGTACTAAAGACATTGGCCGCCAGGATCCAATCAGCCAGCGGCCCAGACGACTTGGCCAGAACCAACGAGATCTTCGGGCTCGCGCTCCGGCCCAAAAGGTTCCAGCGGGTGAGGCGCCTGAAGAGTCTGGTGAAGAAAACGCGCCCTTGAACTTGGTCAATGAAGCCCTTATGATTGAAGGAGGACGCGGAAAGCGTGAGAAGAAGCCTTCCACCCGTGTAGCTTCTGAATCGCGGGCTTCTAGCCCTCCAGCCGCACCACGTGGCCGCCCCCCTCGCAAGAATGCAAAGACACGCCTACAAGAGATAGAAGCCGACCCAACCGCCGGGGAGACAATGGTCTCCACCGAGAAATGGGTCGACAATGTCGGCGATGCCGATTCAAGACGTGGCTCATCGCCAGCAGTTTCCACTGGCCCCTCAACGGATTGGAGCAGCGATGAAGAGATCCCAGACAGGGAATACGGCACGAAGAGACGAAGACTCGACACGTCTGATTTTGAGTCGGCGAAAAATGCGAAGAAAGCAAAGACGGTTGCGGTGGATGCCTCGGTAAATTCGAGTGCTGCCGACGCAGATGCTATTGCAAAGGAAAAGTCAATCAAGCGCAGCGAAGGTGCCAAGATGGGTTGGGCCAAACGCAAGGCCGAGCTGCAACAGCAGCGTGAATCTTCTACGAGAGCCACTAGCCAGGAGAACAACGAAGGCGACGACGGTCAGCTAAAAAATAACAAAATCGAAGGCGATAGGCCCAAGCCATACCCAAGGAAGTATGCCAAGAAGAGCAAAAAAGAGCCCGTGTATACGACACTGCCTGATGGCACTATCAAGAAGGAGAAGTCGGCCGCTACCATCAACATGGAGAGGCGTTGGGCCAAGAAGAGAGAGGCAGAGGCCCTCGGATTGGAGCCCCCAAAGATTGGTCGATATAAGAAGTCGGAATTGGCGGCCATGAAGGCTTCCCAAGATGGACAAGCGACGGGCAGCCCTGATGATCGTTCTGAGCCGAAACTGGCTCCCAAGAAGCGCAAGGTGTCCGCCGATGACCAGCCTGCTGGCGATATGCGAACAGACCAGGGTGAGAGTGCTCAGGCATCGGAGAATGCGGCTGCGAAGCGACGTAAGAAGGATGCAGACGAAAACATTGCAGCACAAGGCTCTACTGCTGGAACTGAAGCATATGCAGCAAACGATTTTTACGGGGCCAAGCCGAGCTCCAGTCGCAAGGTAAAGAAAGCACCTGCTGATACAAGCATGCATACCCCAGGAGCAGTCCACACTTTCCATAACAATCAATACGAAGGTCTCGGACACGTTCACCAGTGGTCACCACCATCTCAACGAGCACAGAAACCCACAGCCAGGCACGTCGCCGGCAAAGGCAAAAAAGGTATTAAGACCGAATCTCATAATAACAATCAAAATGACGATCCTTCTCTCAAACCCATGTCGGCTCCCGGTAATGAAATGGCGAGCTCCAAGTTTCAAAACGCCCCAAGTGGTGCGGAGACTTTGGGTATTGCTGCCACTAAAGAAGTTGTCAGTCGAACAACAAGGAGTCGAAGCCGCCAGGCAACCACATACATTCAAACAATTACACATATTGCTGCTGCTCCTTCAGAGAAGGATCTTACCGTAGCCCCCAAATCAGCTGCAGTTCCAAGTCATGGAGAAACAGGTCTAGTGACCATCGACGCAGAGAAGCCATTCCAGTCAATTTTGATCAATCGTGGCCAAGAATCTTTTGACCCTGAGCGGAAGACATCGGATGGACGCAAAGCTCGTGCACGGAGAGGTCCAGTGGCCTCGATCAAGCAGCAAGATCTTGATCCTGAACAAAATCATCCTGTTCGTCGAGCCAGGAAGAGTCCAGTGGCTCCAGCGGTGCCAAATGCCAAAGCAGTCTCTCCTTACGACATGCCAAAACCAGGCAAAGCTGATAAATCCATTGCTCCAGAGATCCCACAGACCTCGGTCAGCGGTGCGTCGTCTCATGACAACGGCTCTTTCACAACTCCTGCATCAGCAGGTGAGCCCGCGGAGAAGGAATCCGGGTCTGGATCTTCGGGAAGACCGAAGAGGAACAGGCATCCTCCAAACAAATACCAAGGTTACTAAACCTGCCACCTTTCTGCACTGTTTATCACAAAACGAGCGGAATACGGCGTAGAAAAAACAAATACTAATGCTATTAAAGTTGAACTTGACGAAACACCATCCTCTGCACACCACGTGGATAACAAAATGCACACTCCGCACGAGTCTATGAACCGAAATATTCTGCCTCAAGGTGCACCATTTATCGCATATGAAACGCCGGATGCGTCTCCTCGGCGCTCATCGACGCTTAAACACAAAAGAGGCGGCCGCTCCAACGTTGAAGTCGAATACTCAGCGGCCAGCACCCCCCACGGGGAAACTCCAACACACACTGCACCTATGGATCCCGATGCCATTGCTGCAGCGAAAGCTAAAGAAGCTGCGCGCGCCGCAAAGTCAGAGAAGATGAAGGCAATCACAAAAGGTATTTTCTAGCCCATCCCATAAGCCCCTCGACTAACACCCTCAGCTCGCTGGGCAAGCGGCGAAATGGAAGCCGTAATGGCGCGCAAAAAGGCCAACAACGCGGCTAAACGCGCCGCTGAAGCAGCCCTCCCCCCATCTTCCGGTTCGAAGCCCAAGAAAGGTGCCGACACAGCACCTGCCAAAGCGCCCAAAGATAGCAAACGCCGTCAGACACACGGTGGGGCCGCTGAGAAACCGCGACCACCACCACTCGGAAAGCCGCCATACACCACCGGACGCAAGATGTCAGAGTATGAGCAATTCCTAGCGCTAACGTCGCCGTCCGCGACCGGGTCACCACTGCCTCCGCGGGGGCGCCGACCAGCGGCTCTACGTGCGTCGCAGAGCCTTGCGTTGCGGGATACGGACGACGAGAGCCAGACGGAGGACACAGAGCAGAGGGAGGAGGAAGAAGAACCGGAGATGGACGCGCTCGACCGGCAGTTTGCCATGGAATTTGATGGCACCGATCCAGGGGAGTTGGACGCGCAAAGACGGAAGATGACCTCGGAATATGAGCAGTACCTGGCACTGGCGGACCCGAACAGTACTTTTATGCTTGGGAAGAGAGCAAGGCGGGCGGCTGGAGGGCTGAAGGAGGCAATGGAAATTGAGAAGGGAGAGGAATCTTCCGACGTGTAGTAATGGACAGGCGCGTAAGGTCGGACTAGAATCAAGGCGCTCATTGGGAGCATTATACTGTTTGGATACTTTAGCTCCTCTGGTTAGAATGTCAAAGGGGCTGTATATACGTTTCGTCGATTAAGCGCAATCTCTTTAGTTTCGGTCAAGAAAACTGATCGCAATACAAACATTTCCCAAATCACTGCATCGTTCTCATGCCAGTAACCAAAATTCCAATCCATTCGTTATCATCATCGCTACAACGCTATGCTAATTATGCTCTCCACACCTATGCCACATCCCCTAAATACATATATAATACACATACATACACCCCCTCATTACTCTGGCACCTCCAACACATCCGACAACTGGCGTCTCCCCGCGCCCAAGTCTCCTCTCATAGACTGCTTGCTCCTCTTCCGGCGCAGGCTCTTCTTCTGCCCCGATGACAGGGTCGAGGTATCACTTCCGCTGCTATTCCCCATGTCACTTCGATCAGCGCTCCTACTCCGCATACTCGCGGCCCTGATGCCAGCCCTCGCAACACGATTCACTCTCCTCTTCGAACCGTTCGGACCGGCACTACTAGCGTAAAACTCCACGGCACCCCACAGCGCCGCCACTGCAAGCGCAATGCAGTCAACCACATGCACGACCCACCACACCCACGCCCTCACAGCCCTGCAATTCGAGAACCCGCTCTGCCACTCCCCGACATCATCAAGCCAGAGGCTCATCAAGCCGAGGTTGCCCGAGAAATCGCCCATGACGCTGCGCACTGTGACTTCTCTAAGGCCCGGGAGTGACGGGTCGGTCGGGATTCCCTGCGCCTGCGCGGCGGGCCAGCGGTGAGCCTCCCACTTCGGGTCGGGAGAGGTTTGGTTGATGAAGTGGTATACGTCGCAACCTTCGTGGTCGTGGCCCGTGAGGACGATGCCCTTGCGTCCCCTCCCTCCACCTGGCTGGACGGGGCTGGACGACTTGCCGAATATGCTCTCGAGGACGCCCCGCGAGGCAGCGTCAGAGAGGTGGTTCTGCTCCCTGATACCGTGAGGAAAGGATCCGTTCTCGCCAGATTCATGGAAGTCGAAGAGCGGTCCGTCGCTGCAGACGCCGTGTACTTTATGAAGAGGGATGTGCGTGAGCAGGACGGTGAAGACGCCGCTGTGCTCGACTGGGTAGGAGGACCCGACCAAAGTGTTTATGAAGTTGTATGTGTCTGTTTGCAGTGTCGGCGCGTAGACCGGGGTATCGAGGTTCATGTTGTTCAGAACGACTACGCGGAGGGTCGGCGCCTGCTGCTGCGATTCAGGGTCGGAAGGAAGGCGGAATTCGAGGGCATAGTTGAGTCGGCCGAATGCGCGCTCGAACCGGGAGGCTCGCTCGAGAGTCAGGTCGCCTGCGTAGCCGATGTCGTGGTTCCCGGGAACGTTCATCAGGCGAGTGGACCACGTCTTTGCGTCCTCGCCGATGGTATGAAAGGGCTGACTGCGGGGTTCCTGGCCGCCATCGGCTACGGCGATAGGGGGCATCGTAGTGTGTATGAGGTCGTCGCTGATCTTCTCATGGTCCGGGAAGACGCGGGACCAGAAGCGGTCGCTGCGCCACTCGAACTCTTCATCGTCGATCCATTGACTGCCGAGTAGATCGCCGAGGACAGTGACGTGCGTGGGGCGCGACCACCAGCGCACGGTGCGGTAGACGTGCGCAAGGTATAAGTCGTTCCCCCAGAGGTCGAGGCGCTTGATGCCGTAGCGGGCGAGGCGGGGCAGGTCGTCGAGCCAGAAGTCGATGTTGGCGTGCAGGGCAGTGCGGGTGCGCTGGAGAAGGGATTCCGTGGAGTTCAAAGTGCCGAAGAAGGCGTGGAAGTTTGTCAGGGAGGCTGCGGTTGGGTCGAGGGAGCTGGAGCCTTCGAGCTGTGGGTCACCGACGGCGAGGAGGCGGAAGGGAGAGGTCGCGGGGACGGCAGGGCTGAGGGGGGTGTGCGAGAGGACGGTTCTCACAAAGGCATTGCTGAAGATCGAGGACCCTGGCGTGGGAAAGCCGCAGCCGTGGAATAGGGGGTAGTAGTAGAGGTAGGTCGTGGAGACTAGGGAGAAAGGGACCAAGAGAAAGAAAAGAACATTGCGGAGCAAAAAGAGGAGGAACATGGGAAAGAGAGGGGCTCGCCGGGCGCGGCGGTGGGTGGTCGTATCAGTCGTATCGGGGGGAAGAGATGAGCAGCGGATCTGGTGACACGCGACACCACTCAACTCAAACCATCCGCGGCTCGGTCGCATGGCGGACTTGTGTATCGCGGCCAGGGGTCAAGGAGAAATAGTCGCGCGGAGAATATTCCGCGTAACGCGCGTCACGGGGGGTGAGTCATGTGATGTGTGAGGTTGGTGCAGAAGGGTAGTCATGTGATGTGTGAGGTTGGTGTAGAAGGGTAGTCATGTGATGTGAGAACGGTTCTGATGGGTTGCTAGCGTAGGTCTAGCGCCTTAGTGTATCCCTCACCTGCCGTATAGGGTATAGTCGTATCTGCGCCACGGCCGTCGGTCCAATTTTGTCTGGGATATAAAACTTTTGCCCATTTTGTCTCCCCTGTCTCCACTATACCCGCCACGTCTCCACCTACGACAAGCCACGCCACGCCGCACGTAACCGTCTACTGTGTTACGCTGCGCTAGTCTCTCTTGGCACTAGTCACCACGACAAGCCATGCCACGCCGCACGTAACCGTCTACTGTGTTAGGCTGCGCTAGTCTCTCTTGGCACTAGTCACCACACAAGCCATACCACGCCACATGTAACCGTCTACTGTGTTAGGCTGCGCTAGTCTCTCTTGGCACTAGTCACCACGACGGCTGGCCGAATGCAACGACCAGTCCCGTGACCAACATGACAACTTAGGGTTAGCCGACGCCGGTGACCACACTCACCAGTATTGTCGCACGCACAGTGGCGATGACGATACAACGGACTAGACAATCCCCTCAACCCCACACTCGGCCCCTACTGTAAGTCCCTGCTGAAAGCAGGGACTCACTTTGCCCGCTTACAGCTTAGCCCATGATGATCGGTGTAACTAATCAACTCGCGAGCCTTGCTGCGCGAGTAATAATCGATCTCTAGTTTCTTCTTCCTCTTCTCTTCCTCCTTCAACGACATGAAGGACTTCAAGCGCGAAGACGATGGCCCCAGCGCCGAGGAGACGGAGCTGGGCACCGTCCTCACCACCAATCCCGAATACAATCTCACCCATGGCCAGAATCAGCTCGAGCGAGGCCTCAAGAGTCGTCACATCCAATTTCTGGCTTTGGGTATGCCATTCTCCCCCTCTCCTTGCGCCCCAATTCACCTGAGCGAACACTGACATCCCACAGGTGGAGCCATTGGAACCGGTCTCTTCGTTGGCTCAGGTGGTATCCTCGCCGACACGGGCCCCGCGCCCCTCTTCATGTCCTACCTCTCCATGATGGGCGTCGTCTGGTGTGTCATGAACAACCTCGCTGAGATGGTCACCTACCTGCCCATGAAGGGTATCTCCGTCCCCTACTTCGTAGACCGTTTCGTAGACCCCAGTCTGTCCTTTGCCGCCGGATGGAACTACTGGTACGCATATGCCATGTTGGTCGCCGCCGAGGCTAGCGCTGCCGCAATCGTGCTCGACTACTGGAATGCCCCCGTCAACGTCGCTGTCTGGATCACCATGGTCCTCTTCATCATCCTGCTGCTCAATGTAATCGCCGTCTCCTTCTTCGGAGAAGCCGAGTTCTGGTTCGCCAGTATCAAGCTCATCACCATCCTCGGTCTCATCATTCTCGGCATCGTGCTCTTCTTCGGCGGCGGGCCCAATCACGACCGGCTCGGCTTTAGGTACTGGAAGAATCCGGGCGCTTTTAAACAATACATGTCGCCCAATGAAACGGGCAAGTTCCTGGCCTACTGGCACGCCTTCGTCAAGGCCGGATTCGCCTTCATCACCTCCCCCGAGTTGATCGCCATCGCTGCGGGTGAGACCGTCGACCCGCGCCGCAACATCCCCAAGGCCGCCAAGCGTTTCGTGTGGCGTCTCGCAATCTTCTACGGCCTCGCATCTCTCATCATCGGCGTCGTCGTGAGCTCCGACGACAAGCGGCTAGGCGGTGCCGGTAACGCGGCCGCGAGTCCCTTCGTCATTGGCATCCAAGCGGCTGGCATCAAGGGCCTCAACCACGCCATCAACGCTGCCATCCTGACATCCGCCTGGTCGGCGGGTAACTCCTTCCTGTACTCCGGGTCGCGGGTGCTATATTCGATGTCCCTGACGGGCCAGGCGCCCAAGTTTTTCAACCGCACCAACAGGCACGGTGTCCCGTACGTCGCGGTCCTTTTCACATGGATGTTCTCGCTGCTGGCATACCTCAACGTGTCCAACACGGGCACCACGGTGTTCAACTGGTTCGTCAACATCAGCACAATCTCTGGCTTCATCGCCTGGATCGTCGTCATGATCACGTACCTGCGCTTTCGCGCCGCGTTCGAGTACCACGGCCTGTTGCACACCCTCCCTTACCGAACGCCATTCCAACCATACGCGACATACGTTGTGCTCTTCATCGTCTCGCTCCTGACCATCACCAATGGCTTCCAGATCTTTTGGCCTGGCAAGTTCAACGTGTCCGACTTCCTCGCCGCGTACATCACGCTGCCCATCTTCCTCGTGCTGTACGTCGGACACAAGATCTGGTTCCGCACGCCCTTCGCCATCCCCATCCCGGATATCGACATCATCACCGGCAGGAAGGAGATGGATGAGCTGGCCGCAATAGAGGTTAGGCGCATACCGAAGAATTTCCTCCAGCGGGCGTGGTTCTGGCTTGCCTAGACGTGGTTGAAAAGGAGATGGGAGATGTGGAACGTGGAACGTGGAACGAATGGGAGGTTCATATATTTATCCAACTTTATAGACCAGTATGCTCTTTATTAAGCCAATTTTGGCCTTTGTCAATCCTGCCGCCCCTGCGCCCTGAGATATAACGCGGCTTTGTATATGGTACACGAAGTAGTTCAAACCCCCATGTGCGTTGTTCAATTTAGCTCAGCATATATGCATACATAGTACCTATTTGACAGGCGCTTTAGAGTAAAAAGCTTTCCCTTACTTGAGCCAAGAGGGGGAAGGCGGAGGTGGAAGGGTGGAAGGGGGGAGGGGTGGATCTGATGGATCTGATAGGATCTGATATTCGGTCTTCCCTCCCCGATCCCGCAACAACATTTCTCCGCATTTTCACCCAACGCGGCCGCATCGTCCGAGCTTCAAACGACGCACGCGCATCTGGAGCTCTGATTCCTCCCACCTATCTATCCCCCACCTACTTACCGACCCCACGAACCTCAACAATCTCGCGCCGTTCTCCTCTAGACAGATCAACGCGCGCATTTATACTCTGCGCGACATATTGTTCTATACGGAAGAAAGAAGGAAAGAATATACCAGTGAAGATGACGGGACGCGGTGGAGGTGGTGGTGGTGGGCGCAGGGTTTTGTTGCCGCCTATGTATGTTCTACTCCTGCCCTCCCCTTCCTCCCAGCTGTGGTGGCTCGAAGAGCGCGTTGTTGGCGCGGGCGCGCATGCCGTATTCTCATTGAGGGGCTTGTTCTGACGAGGGGTATAGCAATATGATTTTCAAGCTGTTGCAGACGGTGAGTACAGAGCTCATAAGTTTCGGAGCGTGATGGCTGGGGTGTGGCTTGGAATTGCGGGATGCTGCCTGTGCGGGTGGATTGGAGGGAGGTGGGTGTTGTTCGGTCCTTCTGTTTGGGGGGTGGACGGGCACGCCAATCCTCGAAATACCATACCGCAGGGACAGAGCTACACCTCTCGAGGCCACCCGGGACAGCATCAACGAACACCTGTTACGCAGTATACACGTACCCATACTAACATCTGCAGAACTCCACAGTGTCCATCTGGCTGTACGAGCAAATTGCCATCCGCATCGAGGGGAAGATCAGGGTCAGTCTTTCATATACCACACCAAAGCTTTGTGCGGTTGCTGACAGAGACAGGGATTCGATGAGTTCATGAACCTCGTTATCGACGACGCGATCGAGGTCGGGCAAATTACAAAGACGAATGAGACGGAGACGAGGAGGCCGCTAGGTATGGTGCCCTGGAGTGTGGATGCTTTACAATGGATGATGCTGACTATTATACAGGCAGGATCTTGTTGAAGGGCGACAACGTGTCATTGATCCAGAGCTTGTCGGTTTGAAGGGGTTGGGTCGCTTGGAGATGTATACTGCGTCTATATGGCTGTTGCGGACGGGATGTGCAGATGGGTTTGGCGCTAAGGGGTGATGAGGCCTTTGAAAAGCTTGTTCGGGATGGTTGGATGAATGGATGCCTGGGGGCGTTATGACGCATATATCCGATGGTGAATGGTCTAAAAACGAGCTCGATCGAGTATCTGGGACGATGCTTGAGTGTTCGTTCTATTACATGTTTTTGCATGTTGTGGTAGATCTTGTGCTGTTCCTAGGGGTAGAAGATCAAATTCAAATATGCAAATGCCAGTAATAAGGCTTTGGGGCCTTTGGAATTATGTGTCATACTGACATTCGTTGCACTCAGTTTGCTATCAAACTCAAGAGCAAACTTAGAAATCTCCTCCTCAAACCTACAAGTCACTATACATATTTTGGCTTGTCACACCAACAACAAGAGCAATACTACTCAACGATTGCTACAACCCTCTATGATTCATTACACGTCATTGCTCCTTAGTTAGTGGGCCAATATGACCACATAGCATATCTCTACAACCCTCTATGATTCATTACATGACATCACTCATACTACCACATGACATATCTCTACCAACTAGAGGCCTAGGAGCATGAACAATAGCTCTAAAAGCTCCTATGAACCTCTATGATTCATTACACGTCATCGCTCTTTAGTTACCCACAAGATTGGTTAAGTTATGACATAATTTGTCTATGACATAATTTGTCTATAGGGGTACTCTGACCTTGGACCTCCTTTTATAGGGGAACCTAAGAGATGGTTCTATGGGATTCTCTTACGTCGACTACAGTTACCAAGCCTGGTTAGTCATGGAAAGTCTTGGAAAATGAGAGAACTACACTCCTTTAGCATAAATAGGATTGCCCTTTCCTTAAGAAAGGGCAAGCAGACAATACAGTAAATCGACTATCACATACTTCCACGTCTTTTCCAAGCTTCCAAGCATTCATCTTGTTACTCCTTGTTTCTGAAAAGTCAGTGAGGTGTTAACCTCTGACTTACCCCTGAGTTCCCAGACTCAACATTTGTTGCAACTTGTCTGAACCACTTCACTACATCACACACCTGATTGCTGCGTTGTGGAATAGTCTAAGCTACGACCCTTTGGCTCTGTTTTCTAAGACAGTGTGTTGTCTTAGTAAATTCATCCCTTCCTTGGGTGGCTAGATTCTCACATCTGGTGCACCCACCATTACACAGTAAATGGGTAATAAAACTCCATCTACCCAGTCGCCTGCCAACCCCCTTTTGGAAAGGTTAATGAGCCAATGAGAGCACGTACTCTCAATTGAGAGTACGTGCTCTCATACAGCCTTTTTGAAGCAATTGAGCTGGCAATATGCCAGCTCAATCGCACGGTAAGTTGGGGGTCAATTGAGACCCCCAATCCTCCCCCCTCTTCCCTTCCTCCCCTCCACCGAAGAACCCCGCTGACCCCCTCCTAGGCTCCCTCCCTCCAACCCCCTCGAAACCACCCACAGAAGCCCTTGCGCGAGGCAACCTCCTCCGCCCCGCCCCCGCCTCCCACGATGGCCTCGCTGGCCGAACTCGCTGTTCCTGTCGACGGCAGCGAGTTCCTCGACTTGGACGCTTGGTCCCGCGCCCTGGATGACTGGGCCGTCAAGGAGAAGTTCTCCTGGCGGCTCCAGAGGAGGGACAAAGACGGGGCAACTGCCGTTTGTCCTGAGGAGGGCTGCGCCTGGCGTGTCCGGGCCAGTGTAATGGTGGGTGCACCAGATGTGAGAATCTAGCCACCCAAGGAAGGGATGAATTTACTAAGACAACACACTGTCTTAGGAAACAGAGCCAAAGGGTTGTAGCTTAGACTATTCCACAACGCAGCAACCACAACGCAGCAATCAGGTGTGTGATGTAGTGAAGTGGTTCAGACAAGTTGCAACAAATGTTGAGTCTGGGAACTCAGGGGTAAGTCAGAGGTTAACACCTCACTGACTTTTCAGAAACAAGGAGTAACAAGATGAATGCTTGGAAGCTTGGAAAAGACGTGGAAGTATGTGATAGTCGATTTACTGTATTGTCTGCTTGCCCTTTCTTAAGGAAAGGGCAATCCTATTTATGCTAAAGGAGTGTAGTTCTCTCATTTTCCAAGACTTTCCATGACTAACCAGGCTTGGTAACTGTAGTCGACGTAAGAGAATCCCATAGAACCATCTCTTAGGTTCCCCTATAAAAGGAGGTCCAAGGTCAGAGTACCCCTATAGACAAATTATGTCATAGACAAATTATGTCATAACTTAACCAATCTTGTGGGTAACTAAAGAGCGATGACGTGTAATGAATCATAGGGGGTTGTAGAAGCTTTTGGAGCTATTGTTCATGCTCCTAGGCCTCTAGTTGGTAGAGATATGTCATGGGGTAGTATGAGTGATGTCATGTAATGAATCATAGAGGGTTGTAGAGATATGCTATGTGGTAATATCAGCCCAGTAACTAAGGAGCGATGATGTGTAATGAATCATAGATGGTTGTAGCAATCGTTGAGTAGTATTGCTCTTGTTGTTGGTGTGATAAGCCAAAATATGTATAGTGACTTGTAGGTTTGAGGAGGAGATTTCCAAGTTTGCTCTTGAGTTTGATAGCAAACTGAGTGCAACGAATGTCAGTATGACATACTGGGTATATGGAGTTTTTGCCCTTAGATAATAACTAAGCCTAATAAGGTATAGATTATAGTCATGATTATATCTTTATTAATAATCATGATTATAATTGATTTTCTAACCCTGAATGTAAGGCCATTTTTTGAAGGGCCTAAAATAATGTTGCCATAGAATTAGAAAAGGGTACCTTTAAACAATAATAACGCACGTAAATAAAAGATCATATAATAAATTCTATCATGCACGTACCGTACGAAAGAAGCCGAAAGTGCAGGAGGAAACATAAGACGCCCATTGAATGCATCTGGCGAACATTCTCTGAAGTTTGGCGCTGCTAACATGTATATCATATGTTCATATCCCCTGGTACAACCCTTGGCTATATACACCGTCTGACTCACCATAATCTACAACTTCCCTTTCGCCTCCCCCATCAATTTCTTCATTTCCACTGCGTCTCTGACCTCTGCATCGCGCGGCCCCTCTTTGGAGAATCTTACCTGCACAACATGCCCGCTCTCTCCTCGTCGCCCACTCCCCTTCAGCTCTGGGCCAGGATGGTCGAGGCTCAGCACTGCCCTACCCTCAAACATGCCCAATGGCACGGGGCTGATAACCTTATCAGCCCACGGCACCCCGTTGGCACCACTCCCCTTCAGGAACTCGTTGGCCTTCTCTCTCTGTTCTCGTAGGTCCATCGCCCCTCCCTTGCCCCCCTCAAAAAACTTGCCCAGCAGCCAGATGAGATACAACTGTGGCGGGAACATAATAATCTCATTCCGCCGCGCCTGCTCCAGCCATGTCGCACAGCTCTGGAACACAGCAGCCGTATGCTCCAGCCCCCCATCACTCGTCGGCGTAGGAATCATCGCGTCACCCCCAATCGGGATCTTGGCATCCTGCCCCGCCCCCGGCAGAGGCCAGAAATACACATACATCTGTGTCGTAAAGCGCCGCGGAACCGACGTCGGCGTTATCCACCGCGTAAACGGCAGCAGCGCGTCCGCGTCCACAACCCCACCCATCTCCTTCACCCACTCGCCGAACTTTAGTTCCCCGCTGTGAATCGCCCGTCGCGCGCGCTCGCGCTCCGCGTCGGGAACCTCGAGCATGCCCCCGCCATCGCGGTGCCGCGCCAGGAGGATCCCGGATTCCTCGAAGCACTCGCGGATGGCGCCGAGGCGATAGACGGGGCTGTCGACGTGGCGTTCGGGAGAGCTCGGAGCTGGGATGGGGCCGTCTTGCGAGGAGAGGTTTCCACCGGGGAAGACGTGGGCGGAGGCGAAAGAGGAAGATGTCTTGACGCGGTGGAGGAGGAGGATCTTGTTTTCGGGAGAAATCAGAAGGATGCTGTTGCGTCAATTGTTAGCTAGGATTACGACTAAGCGATAGGGGGAGAGGTTGCGTACCTGGAGCTCGGGCGAGGCTCCGGACTTGGCGGCTTCGCCTTGTGAGTTCGTGGTTGTGGAGGAGGCATGGTTGTGATTGTCCGCTTCTCTGTATTGAGTTCTGTTCCTCGGCTTCTCAGCTCTCGAATTCGCAATGGTGTGAATGCCAAATGTCCCAGCTGTCTCCGTACCCGTCGAAAAGCCAATCCCAAGAAATGTTCGAGTTTCGTAGCTGTGTTGGTGAACGTTGAAAGAGATCGGAGGCCAGGGGGCATTGCCACTATTGTATGTCCCTGGAAGAATGTCGAGATCAGCCGAGTTCCCTACCTACCAAGGGATGCATGGTGTTTAACAGCTGGGGTTTCGAGGATTCGAGGATTTGGATGGCTGGCGGTGGTCGGCAGTGGGGTGAAGTGGAGCGTTTTCTCGGGACAATGTCGGTATTAGCGCTGTCGTTGCGGGGAAGACCTGAGCTGGGGCCGAGGTTCGATCGGGAATTCTCCGCCTCTTCAAAGTTATGCTGAAAGGCATAACCCTCTACGTGACTGCAACGCACGATCCTCCCCTAGTGACTTGGATGCATGAGTACTAGAATAAAGTTCAGTCGCTTTGAAAGCAATGAACAAAACGCGAATTGCTAAAAAGACCGATGCCAAACTCCCAACAAACTCCCAACCAAACCATCGACTTCAACCACCTCCACCACAGCCACCGCAGCCACCACCACACCCTCCACCTCCACCCCCCCCATCTCCTCCTCCTCCTCCTCCTCCTCCTCCTCCATCACCACCACCGGTGCCACATGCAGCACCAGAACCGCATCCCCCACCACAACCTCCTCCACCACCGCACCCTCCGCCGCTGCACGTACCAGCCGCACATGCGCCGTAGACACCCATCCCCATCGGCATATAGTATAGGCCGTACGGGTACATGAAGGCCTGATAAATCCGAGTTAGCAAAGTCCTGGGAATCAGAGTCTAAAAATCCTGGAATACATACCGTCATGTACATCATCCCGTAAGGGTATGGCGAGGCATAAGCCATCCCGTAGTGGTTAGCAACGAACTGCTCCTTCGGTGGCACAGGTCTGCCTCGTTTGATGGCGCGCTTGCATGCTTTTGCGTAGGCCTCGTCCAGCTGCTTCTTCCGCGCTGCAGCAAGCCTATCTGCCACTCTCCTGTTCATCGGATCGCCATTCACCACGGGCACGGCATTGTGCGCGCTGATGTGCGCGCTGTTACTGGGCGGGCAGAAGTGGGCTGCGCCGCTCTTGTAGAACTCATCAGAGATCTTGTCATGCTTTGAGGTCTTCTTGAAGATGCTGTTGGCTGAGCTCACGTGCTTGGCGCGAATGGCCTCGCAGTACCAGCAGGTGCATTCGGAATAGACCGTGCCATAGATCCTCTCATACTCCTTGGACGTCCATTCGAAGCCGTCGCTGAGCTTTTGCTCATCAATCTTATCATCGTGGTCGATGAAGCGATCGGTTGTCATTCGGATTGAAAAATTGTAATATTCTCTCGGGCTAAGCTGGTGCGTGTGCCAAGCAAGGTCGACATCCAAGGTTGGAACAGCCGTTTGTTTGGGGTTGGATGCCATAATGCGGAAGAAGCGTTCGTATTTGACCAGGAGACGCTCCATCGTGGAGAGAGCCGTTGGGCTATGCAGCCAGTCGATCTTGTGCATCTTGTCCACGAAGGAGCCCTGGCGAATTACAGCTGAGCTGAGCTCCATAGAGAAGAGTGAGTGGTTAGTCCAATATCTTGACATCATGTGTCTCACGGCCAGACGTTCGTCTGGGTACATTTTCCCGCTGGTTTTATACCCATTGATCTTTGCAATGATAGTCTTATCCCCTATAGACTCCTCAATCAGGGTCCGAACGTAGATTAAGTTGCCGGTCCTGCAGAATTGGCTGCCATAGTCCTCTTTATTGAGGTCAAGAACCTGTGTTCTCAAATGTTCTTTAATGAGTCGATTTGGAAACGACTGTGGGCCATAGGTCGCCTCATGGAGGCGCACATTGAGTGGCGTCCCGCCTTTCCCGGGGACAACAGTGCCGCCCATTGGGTAATCGGATCGCAATAGATCCTCGGCATCTCGTTTGAATTTGGCGACCCTGAGAATATCGTGGGTGATGTTCAGGTTACATAAGGGGCACGTCCCTCGAAGGTCTGCCTCCGCATAGCCGTGGCCCACATACTTCATGTCCCAATTGTGGCGGGCTGATTCCTCCATGGAGGCTGTCGTCCATGGGATGGATTGTAAAGTCGAGCAACGCGGACACTTCAAGGACTTCACGGAGGCCTCGTCTAAATTGCTCCACGGCCGACTTGTTGAACAGGCCCATTTGGTTTTTGCAGCATCAGTGACTTCGTAGTAAAAGCTGTCATTGATAGAGTCATTGACGGCTTTCCATGGTACTCCGGCGTACCACGTGTCTCTGAGTCCGAACCGCATACAGTCTTCCAGATAGTTGCGCGGGTTGAGCATGAAAGAATGCCAAACCATGAGGACATCTGTACATTGTCAGCGACAGTTGCTCAGTGGAACCAGGAAGTGAATATTACCGAGAGGAGGAAGCATATCACGAGTCCATACCCATTGGAGATGCTTCCAGCGTTTTGTAGGGTGGTTGGGACACTTGGTAAATGCAGGCTCGTCAACAAACTTAACCCACAATACAGCGGTAAGATCGGATGTGCGTAGCCTCGAAACCCCCAATGATGGGCCTAGACTATTGCAGAATGCTTTATCCATAGGAGTGAGGACCTTGGTCCACCACGACTCGAACCGATCCGCAGCTCGTGCCACGTACAGAGCCCATCTCTTTTCCCTAATCTGAGCCAAGGCCTCGAGTCTCTTGATCGTAGCCGGTTGGTCTCCAGCAACGGATTCGTCTGTACCAGGAGCCCGACAATCGAATAGCCCAAAGGCCCCGTCGGTATATGCGACCTCGTCTTTAAGCGCATAGAATGCCTCGAGAAGCTTGAGATGCCCCAGAGTCTCTTCCGGAGTAGGGAAACCATTACCGTTCTCCTTGATCGTCAGATTTGAGAAGGCCCATGCAATGTCAGGTTGGGCCCCAGCAGCATTCCCATTCTCTGCGGCCGCGTTCATCATCTCCGCCTCGGTGAGGTTGGTAGGGTTGCCATTAGTGGGGGTATATGTTGGAGGTGCCTGAGCAACAGAGTCTGGGCGCACGCCGTTGGCCTGGCCATTCTGTACATTAGTGCCAGCTGGTTGGTTGGAGGCTACGGATTGGGAGTTGCGTTTGAGAAGTGCCATATTGGAGAGTGGTCGCTTTAGGCATGCCAAGGGCGAGAACAAGCACGAGCTTCTTGTCTTGGATGACTTGTACAAGGCGACAACAACGAGGCAGGCACCAGCTGATAAATACTTTCTCTGTTGGATGAGTTGGCAGCGGAAGTTATGAGCCGACCGTGGCTGCTCCAGCTCAGCTCAGCCTCACAAATAAAGTAATGCTAAATAGAGGGGGTAGGCTGACAAAAGGTCCACTCTATGGGTCTTGGGAATCCTTCGGATATGGAGACAAGTGGACAAGGCAGACAGATCTCCATGCAAGCTTATCCACCAGATGCACCGATGAACACCCAACGAAGGAAGTAAGTTAGTGTTGGTGGCGTAATGCCACTCAACGAAATGTTGGGGAGGCGCAGACCGTGATTAGGCTGCGCACTGGGTACTCACGAGTCGAGTAGTAGAATTTTCACTCACCCAGCTGAGTTACTCACTCATGTCCCGAGTATTGTTGAATGAGGATTACTCACTTGGCAACTCAGTTATATCACGTGCCATTACTTATGTTAAAAACGTGTTGGAGCAGGAAGTACCGTGGTACGGGATGACACACAAATCATGTGGTTTCTCCAGTGGTCGGGTGTGATTCTGGCCCTAGGAATCAGGCAGAATCAGGCAACTACATTTAGTGAAACGTAGTCATATTAGTGTAGTTTCGTACGGTAGAGTAGCTTAGGGGCGACGGCATAAGTAAAGGCCGTGGCCCCATTGAATTCTACAAGTTTGGTTCGCGCTCGGAAAATCACATCTGGTAGCAATTGCTTGAAAAAGGAGCCCAGTTCTAGCTGGATCCTTCGAGGGCTTCGAACGAAAGATTGCTAAGGAGCAGGATTTTCGTTCGGAGCCCCACAAGAACCGCACTATCACCACACTCTTTACTTAATAAGGGAAGTAATGAACCCCTTAATTAAAGAAGAGGAGGAATGTGACGATAATAGCCGAGGTTCGTACGATCGTGCCGAAATACGAGTATAGGGTGAGAATTGCATCTGCAATAGTGAAGCATTCAAACCTGAGAACCAACTTCAAAACCAAACCCCTATCAGAAATTATCACTTTGCAATATGTCGAACGGAGACTCACAGCTCGTACGAATGTCCGAACAAGATCGCCTTATGCTACAGCAGACAGTTGAGCAGATTACCAACACTCGGATCCATGATATGAGTACCCAAACTGCTCAAATGCTTCAGTCCTTTGAAGAGAGACTGAACGCCCAGTTTGCTAGAATGGAGGAGCGACTCTTAAATATCCGTTCGGAAGCACTTGAGTCGTCACTGAACGAAACACCGTCAGGGGCTATTCCTACAGAGGTCCCCCTACCAACAACGCCATTGTTCGAGCCACAGCCTACATACAACACCCAGCCTATGTTCGGGACCCAGCCTACGTTCGGAGGACATCCTTCGTTCGGAATACTGCCATCGCAACAGCTGGTAAAGGCTCAGCTACCTTTGAAAGAGCCCCGCAAGTATAGTGGCGAACGAAAGAACGGAGCCTGCGAACAATGGTGCATGGATATGCTTAGCTTTCTTACTCGCTTTGAGAAGCTTACTCGAACGAATGTTGAGCCCCTTCAAGCTGTTGAGTATATTACACAATACTTTGAAGGTGCAGCGTTGACATGGTGGACGAATTTTCAATTCCAAATCGAACGAAGGCTTACAAGCCGACAAGCTCCTATAAATGCACAGCAGCTTTGCAATGAGCTACAGCAAGCCTTTGGTGATATCCATTCGATTGAAAGGCGTCGAGAGAAGTACGAAGCTATGAAGCAGACGAAGTCCGCGAATTCCTTGAAGCACCAGGTCCTCTTCCTTGATCTGACTCCTACAGAATATGAGATTCTCCGGAGGTTCCAGACAGGCCTTCGAACGGATATACGTGCGAAGATGGAAGAGAACCATGGGGATATCCGAGACCTAGACTCCTACATCAATAAAGCTGACGACGTCGATCGAGCTCTATTTAGAGTAAAACAGCTACAGAAGTCTTCGAACGAATCCCAAGGGCAGAACTACGGAATGGGATCTAATATGCCAAGTGCAAAGAATGACCCTGCTGGATTTAAGACATGGTGTCGAGAGAACAAGGCTTGCTTTAATTGCAGCAATAAAGAGCATATCTCACGGAACTGTACCCGAACGAAGGATTCAGGACGAAAAGGGGGTTCGAACGGACAATGACGACAGGATCCGGAAAACTAGTGGCATCCCTAGACCTTCAAGGCCAGCTAGGTGATGCGCTACAGGAGGCCTCAAGCCCGTACGAATATCCAACGACGGAGAACGATGAGCAACAGGATAATAGCGAAGCTGCTTCGAGCGAATGCCTTGGTTCCTTAAATTCGATCGGAAGTAGCACGATGGTTGTGAGTGGAGAGACCCTACAGGGCCAGCCTCAGACCTTGAAAATGCTTCTCGATTGCGGAGCAGACTGAGTGTATGTTGCACGAAGGGTTGCGATAAAGATAGGGGAAATAAAACAAGGGCAGACCACAAGAGTCGACCTACCAGACGGAGGTGCTGTTACCTCGAACGAATATATACGATTGTTCGTACGAATCGGCACCTATACAATATCGATAACTGCAACAGTTATGGATATACCGAGTTATGATGTTATCTTAGGATTAACATGGTTTCGATCAGCTAACCCAACTATAAATTGGGCCCGTTCGGAAGTTACACTGAAAGACCGTAAGGGAACACATAGGTTACAGTTGGAGCGCCCAGCTCGAACGATAGAAGACGCTGGCCTCAATCTAATTACCTCCCGACATGTCAAGAAGGCACTCCGAACGAAGGGCTCCCAGGGGTTAATGTATTTTGTTCGAAAAGCTTCGGACGAATTACCAAAGGATATTCCAACCCAGTTTCGAACGGTGATAGAAGAGTACCAAGACTGCTTCCGTTCGGAACTCCCAGAATCGTTACCACCTAAGAGACAATGGGAACACTCGATCGATGTTGAGGATGCAAGGGCTGTTAATCAGGCTGCATATCCTGTTTCATATACGCAAGCTGAAGAGCAAGCTACGCAGATTAAGGACCTTTTGGATAAAGGCCTAATTCGTACGAGCTCAAGTGAATGGGGCTTCCCTGTTCTATTTGTGAAGAAGCCAGAAGGGAAATGGCGTATGTGCATTGATTACAGGGGTTTAAATGCTGTTATGAAGAAGAACACCTATCCTTTACCACGCATCCAAGACTGCCTCGATCGAATAGGGGCTGCAAAAAGGATAAGCAAATTTGATCTACTCTCTGGATTCTATCAGCTTCGGATGGCACAAAATAGTGTCGATAAGACAGCCTTCAACACTCGCCAAGGCAAGTTCGAATTCCTAGTGATGCCTATGGGACTTACGAACGCCCCCGCTACATTTCAAACGATGATGAATACTATACTACAGCCCTACTTGGATAAATTTGCTATGGTATACCTTGACGACATTATCATCTTCTCAAATTCGGACGAGGAGCATAAAGAGCATCTAGCCTTGGTTCTCAAGAGTCTTCGTACGAACAGGCTATATGCAAAACCAAGCAAGTGTATAGTAGGGGTAGAGACAGTTGAATTCTGTGGACACATTGTAGGGCAAGGACAGCTCCGAACAGCTGTCTCAAAGACAAAGTTAGTAGAAGAGTGGCCTACACCTTCGAACGTACATGAAGTCCGACAGTTCCTTGGTCTCGCCTCCTATTATAGGCGTTTCGTACGGAACTTTGCTACCATAGCAGCGCCCTTAAGCGACCTGCTGAAGGAGGAAGATCCAGAGAAACGGAAGCAGAAGAACCGCCCTATTATATGGACAGCAAAGTATCAGCTTTCGTTCGAACTCCTGAAGAAGGCGCTTTCGAACGAACCTATCCTTACGCAACCTGATTTCCACCGTCCGTTTGTGATTGAAACAGACGCTTCGGAATGGGCAATAGGGTGCTGTTTGCTACAATTAGGAACAGATGGCTTGTTACACCCAGTTGCGTACGATGGTCGGAAGCTACAAGGAGCTGAGCTTAACTATGCAGTTCAAGAGAAAGAGCTGTTAGCTATAAAGCACGCCCTCCGAACGTGGAGTTATTATATTGATAATCATACTCGAACGAAGATCATTACGGATCATGAGAGTTTGAAGTATCTCAAGGATACCAAGGTTCCATCAAAACGTCTAGCCCACTGGATTGCTGAGTTCAGAACGTATGATCTTGACATACAGTATAGGCCTGGAAAAGAGGCTATAGTTCCAAACGCAATTAGTCGCCGCCCTGACTTTATTGGCACTGGTGAAGCATACCAGTCGCAGTTCAATTCTATCCGCTCAGTGGATGAGGATGAATGGGAGGAAGCTCTCATAAAATATCTTCGTACGAAGGAAGAACCTTCGAATGAAAAACTACGAAAGGCGGTTCTAGATGATAAGAATCACCCGCCATCTAGTTTTGTATTAGAGAAAGATACTCTCTTATACAAGAAAACAGAGACAGGACAAGCGGCATACCTTGCTCCGATATTTCGGAAGGTATACCTCGAACGAGCACATCGGGATTACGGACACCTGGGTTGGCCAGGCCTAAATGGAGCTCTACAGAATAGAGTTTGGTGGCCTACAATAGAGCGTGATGTCCAAAATCAGATACAGATGTGTCCGGCTTGTCAAGTGTCAAAGGGCGCTCGTACCAATGTCGTACGAGGGCCCCGAAATACCCTCGAACGAGAGAGTATTCGCTTGTTTGATCAATGGTCAATAGACTTGATAGGAATATTACCTCAAACGTATAATGGTAACTGTTGGATTATAACAGCTATCGAACGATCTACAGGATGGCCTGTAGTAAAGGCATTAAAGGATGCAACTACACAATCAGTTATGGACTTCATACATCATGATATATTCGCTGTCTATGGAATTCCGAACGAGATCTTAACGGATAATGGGACTAACCTTGTCTCAGAGGCTATGGAAACGTTCCTACAGCCTACTAAGGTTAAACACCGAACAACTACCCCTTACCACCCCCAAACGAATGGAAAGATCGAACGATTCAATGGAATTATTGGGGCAATGTTAACGAAATATCTATATGGAAAGCCCGTACGGATGTGGGATGAATACCTTACACAAGCAGTCTTTGCTACTCGACTCCGTATTCATGCTGTAAGCAAGTACAGCCCGTTTTACCTCCTCTACGGAGTCAATCCAAAGTTACCAGGAGATTCGTACGAAGCCTATAATGGCTCAGAGGAAGACAGAGTACAGAAGATAATCAAATGACATGCATGTTCGAACGAAGCTCGAGTGAACGCAAATAAGAAGCTTGTTGAGGCAGCAATCAAAGCATCCCTTGTACGAGACGAGCAGTTCGCTCCAAAGCCAGACATAAAGGTTGGCACCTATGTTCTCGTATGGGATGAGAACCCTCGAAAATTCCGTTCGAAATGGTATGGACCATACAAGGTTATCATGGCAGCTCCGATCGGAACTTATGCCTTGGAGGATTGCCACAAGAAGATCGTGAAAAGCCTTATACATGGGAACCGGCTATTACCTTTGAACGACCTAGCAGTTAATAAGGAAACTGGACAGTGGAGTTCTAGTTTTAATCTAGACACTATCCGTTCGAAGTTTGAACTCATATCACCTTCGGACGAAGTTAGAGAACTCCTAGAGCAAGAAGGCGTTCTAGGATATTCTTATAAGGAACTGGCTATGATCACTAAGCGTGAATGGCTGAATCTACAATCTAGAGGACTAGATTCAAGCAAGTTAGGGGAGGGAAAAATAGGTGATATCTCGTACGAAGAGGCTATTTTCAAGAAGCTTAAGGCTAGAGTCCTCGCTCTCAAACGGAGAGAAGAAAAAGAGGCACAAGCAGAAGAACGAGATGATACTATTACCCCCCAACAAATACCTTCGGAAACGATCGTTCGAAGTGTAGATACTCAGTTACAGGGTCCTACGGTGATCCCTCAGTCAAATACGCAAATACAGGTAGACGTACCTTCGAACGAAAGGCAGCCTAGAGCCCCCTCGAACGAACCTGCTATTGTGACGAGCGAAAGGACTGTACAGAAGAGTCAGGAAATGCGTACACCCGCACAGGAGCTGCCAGTTGCAGTCACAACTGCCTCCTATATTGATCTTGAGAGTAGGGACTTGCAACCCCTATCTCAAGAGAGTCCGAACGAAGAGTCTGGAATTGCAGTCCAGTATTCAGACGGAAGCCCATCTGGTGTTGGTAACACAGAGGAAAGCTCAAACGAAGAGCAACAGAGGGTAGGCCTTGCCCCTCTTAAAAACAGGAATGAGAAGTCCCGTACGAAGTTCGCTCGGGATACTCGTACGAACTACTCTTTACGGAAAGCCCCAAAGAAGAAGGTGCTCAATTCTCTATACATATTTCATTTGTCACAAGAAAGCAGAGAAAAAGCAGAGGGAAATCATCGTATTGTTGTCTCGTATGAAGCTATCTACTCGAATCCCTCCCAAGTCGACCCCTCACCCTCACCCTCACTCTCCACGTCGTCCTCGGACAAAACATCCTCCACTGTCGCACCCCCCTCCAAAGCCCTGCCACGCGCAGAGAGGGCACGCTCCATCCCACGAAGCTCCGCCAGAGCATCCCGCACACCGTCGGTGGTGTTCAGGTCGAAACCTGACCCGAGATGGGTGTTCGTACGGGCCTTGTCTTGATACAAGGATCCCGAACGAACACGGGTGCGGGCTCCCACAGGTCAGTACGGGACAGGAGAAGGGAGAAGGAGGAAGGGAACTTACCACCACCAACGCGCAAAGTGCAGCGACCGCCCTGGCCACCCCAGAAGCAGTTGGCGCATGCGCCACCGAACGGAACCTTGTTTCCCGGCCCATAGCCGGAGGAGAAGGAGACACAGCCAGTCTCGAACGGACCAGCGCCACGAGCGCAAGAGTTGCAAGGTGTGGCATTGTCGTTGCCACGCGCCTGCACCTCCACGGCAATGCCGTACGAACCATGCTTCGAGAGATCGGTCTCTCGGTTCTTACGCCAGACGATCTGGCGCCGGACGGGGAACTCGGCCATGACGTGTTGCACGTCAGCGGTGGCAGTCTTCTTTGCCTCGATCGCCATCGTGGTGCTCGTGACGAAGTCGCCCTGTGAGAATATCAGCTCCGAACGAGACGAAAGTGAGAACTCCGAACGAAATTGTCATACTGACATTCGTTGCACTCAGTTTGCTATCAAACTCAAGAGCAAACTTAGAAATCTCCTCCTCAAACCTACAAGTCACCATACATATCTTGGCTTATCACACCAACAACAGAAGCAATACTACTCAATGATTGCTGCAAACTCTTCTACTACATCTGTTTATGCTACATACATCACGGCATATCATTTGGACACTCATTGAACAAGTTATTAAGAAAATCTCCTCCTTAAGGGGGTGGGCCAATACTACCACATGGCATATCTCTACCAACTAGAGGCCTAGGAACATGAACGATAGCTCTAGAAGCTTCTACAACCCTCTATGATTCATTACACGTCATCGCTCCTTAGTTACCCACAAGATTGGTTAAGTTATGACATAATTTGTCTATAGGTACTCTGACCTTGGACCTCCTTTTCACTTCCTATAGGCTAGGAACCCAAGAGATGGTTCTATGGGATTCTCTTACGTTCACTACATGATTAGCAAGCTAGTTGTGGGTCGCACTTGATTTCTAATACATTTACCAAGCCTGGTTAGTCATGGAAAGTCATGGAAAATGAGAGAACTACACTCCTTTGGCATAAATAGGATTGCCCTTTCCTTAAGAAAGGGCAAGCAGGCAATACAGTAAATCGACTAGCACATACTTCTACGTCTTTTCCAAGCTTCCAAGCATTGATCTTGTTATTCTCTGTTTTTGAAAAGTCAGTGAGGTGCTAACCTCTGACTTACCCCTGAGTTCTCAGACTCAACATTTGTTGCAACTTGTCTAAACCACTTCACCACATCATACACCTGATTGCTGCGTTGTGGAATAGTCTAAGCTACAACCCTTTGGCTCTGTTTCCTAAGACAGTGTGTTGTCTTAGTAAATTCATCCCTTCCTTGGGTGGCTAGATTCTCATATCTGGTGCACCCACCATTACAGAAATGGGAAATCACACATACCTTTGGTGTGTAGTGGCCCTTGCCACCACGGCCTCCACGGCCACGCCCACCACCCTGACCACCACGACGTCGACCGTCACCACCACCCAGCCCGCCCGACGCAGTGCTTCCCGCACGGAAGTCGACCGAAGAAGACATCTTCCACAAGAAGAAAAGAGAAGTTGGGAGGAGGATGGTGGTGGGTGCTGTCTTTGTGCGAAGACAGTTCGTACGAGTGATGGAAAAGAAAGCAGAAAAGAAGAAGAAAGGCGGGTAGAAGTGAGGCTCTTATGCTGGAAAATAGGGAGTGAATAAAGGAGGTCAGGTGACCTGTTTTTCTCAAAGTCGGGGGAGATGTGATTCTGGCCCTAGGAATCAGGCAGAATCAGGCAACTACATTTAGTGAAACGTAGTCATATTAGTGTAGTTTCGTACGGTAGAGTAGCTTAGGGGCGACGGCATAAGTAAAGGCCGTGGCCCCATTGAATTCTACAAGTTTGGTTCGCGCTCGGAAAATCACAGACTTGCTACCTAATTAACACGTGATACCGTGTTTAGGTGTCATTCTATTCTTCAGATAAGCAGTGGGTGCATAGTTATGGATTATCCCATCTCCATCCCTTCCGTACGCACCGCCACACCTGTGTTATCATCGTACACTTTCATCAGTCGACGACTCGTCATATCGGAGAGCATCCAATCGCCTGTCGGAAATCCTGCCGCGCCGGAGCAACCGGCCACTCTTCAGGCACGTCGAGACCAAGCTCCGTCATGAACTGCATGATGTCTAAACGGAAGATTAGCATCTTTTCCTTCACATTATAGGTGTAGTAGCTTTCCAACTGACTCGTGATCCCCTGCACCCGCGCCAAATCCCGTGGAAATCGAGGTATAGGTAGACTCGTCGTGATAAATCCACAGCGGACGCAGTTGCTGATCTGCTTGGGTCACGCGTTGGTCGCCAGCATAGCCGATGTGTTGTAGTAGCTATGACGAAGGTGGAAGGTTAGCAAAAAAGTTAACAATAACGTAACAATCAATGATTTATCCAAATATAGCACATACTCTCCCAAATCTAGCGATTATGGCCAACGAGGTCCGGTCGGGGCGTAAGCTCTTCCAAATCCAGCTATTATGGCCAACGAGTTTCGGTCCAGCTCGCAAGCTCTCGCCAACGAAGCGGCGGCGGCGTTAACTAACTTACAGTGTCAGAGGCGCAGAGCAGCCTCGGCACAGAAATTTCGCGCTTCCCTCAGGCGCCGGCATTCCAAGCCCTCCAGATCCAGCAGCAGCTTGCTTCGATCCAAGCTGAGCTGCGAGCTATGAGATGAGCAAAGAAAACCCGGCAATGTAAAATCAATTCCATAGATAATTTAAACGGTTACTTTCATCAGCGACTGACTGTGGGCAATGTTGGATTCTCGAGGTCTCTTGAATACATGGATGATTCCATTGTGACGCATCAGCACTCGGAGACGATTGGCAAGGCTGAATTATCGAGGAATTAGGGGGCTGGGTCATCGTTTTTCAAGCCGTGACTCATTATTGCAGGTGTGGTGTGAAACGACGTTCACATGCAATTTACCCCCTGTCCAAGACAAAAAGAGACAGCCATATCCTCTCTCTCCTCCGTAGGAGACGCTGCCCCCAATTCGAGTACGGGTCGACATCATCGAAGCCATCAAGCAACAATGCCTTCTTCGTAGTGATACAATCCGATTTAGGGGCGTGATCAGGGATTTGGCGTTGGGGAAACCCTGGGGCCGGCACGATGAGCTTGTTTAGCGATATATCCGTCGCAACAGAAAAGCCATAGCCATGTACACGTCTCGTCATCAGCCCAGTGTTTTCCAGGCGCCATCCATGGGACATTGACTATAAATGCGAGAACTATCTCTGGCGATCTATAGCGCTTCTCCATCATAGTATGCCAGCTTTTTGCAATGGACAGAGAGGCGTTTGGAGAGCGCTGCAGTGGACGGGAGAAACAGCGCAGACGCTGCGAGAATCGAGGTGAATAGAAATTATGATCGGGAGCGGACAAACTCGGCAGTGTGCACGACAGGATCGAGTCCCCATCTGGCGTGGGATAGATTTTGGTAGAAGCTGACACATTAGTATATCTCGAAGTGGGGGAGTGGGACCTAGAAGTTGAAGAGCGCGGTAGTTTCGCCGCTTGTTATGTAGCCCATATCAACTGGATCAATGTCCTCGCTGACATCAAGATTCGGACTGAACGGGCCAAAAAAGGGTTGGAGGTCTTTATCTTCGGCTAGGTAACCAGAGGTAGGTCGAGCGTTTTGTCGTGGCTGTGGAGAGACGGCCATACCAGAAGCACTGGCGAGAAGTTGCAGAGGGGTCTCGGCATCGTCAAGGGAATAATTATTGTCGCGGCTTCTGCCCGCCGTCGCAGTGGTCTCATATTGTGTCGGTACAGGCGGCGCTGATAACTGAGGGCTTTGGACAGGCCCTTGACTCTTTGGCAACAAGCCTGCAGTGCTGCCCAGGAGATGCTGGGGACAGCGCAGCCTGCTGGTCCTCCAGCTCTCCGCCATTCGCCTTTGACCGCGCGATGGCCTGGCCAATTCGATAGACGGCTTTTTCGAGACCAGTGCGTTTACTAGATAGGTTGGCATGGCTTTACCGGAAGATCGCGCATACTCACTTCTTCACGCCTTTCTGTCGGCCAGCATGGTACTTGGGGATGATGCACTCTGAATTGGCCTGGTCGCACCGCTTGCACTTGGCGTCGCCGGCTCCACGGTGACACCTAATCTTGCTTCGCCTGTAGCTTAGACACGCGGCCTGCTTTGTGCTCCCCGAACTGGTCGCAGCTTCTACCGGCTCTGAGCGCTCGTCCATCACAACCGCGCCTTCGGTGGCCGGCGACAACGACCGGTAGGAGTATTGCTTGTTAATAGCCGCCAGCTGCGTATATAATTAAAGCTGCGGAGACCCTAAGATTAGTACCAGTGCTAGACCGTAAATCCCCATCTTTACCCCGTGATGTTTTAGTCTTGGCGTTCGGAGTATAGGCGGCTGCCAGAACTGGCGCCGCTGTCTCTTGTCGCCGTCCCGTTTCGGTGCTACGGCTGACATCCAAACTCTTCCCCACTAAAGGATTCGAGGTCGGTGAGGGATGGGAAATGATTGGGCTCGACCATCGATCCTACCCTGAAACACTGAAGTATGTATGTCGTAAACCTTGTCAGCTCTGTCTTACCTGCCGGCGGTTGACACACCTTATATTCTCCTCTCCTCCCACTTCTTCTCTCGTTCTCCCCCGATAACCTGCGCCCTTGAATACGATTGATAATGTCCTCTACCCCTCCCTATCTCTCTGAGCTGGGCAAGGGATGCCTGCCACCATACGACAAACAGGACAATGATTATGTATCGACAATGACACCCGCAAAGCAGAAGGCCCTGACGCGCCGAATCCTCTTCAAGCTCGACGTCCGCATCATCCCAATCATGGCGCTTCTCTTCCTCTGCTCCTTCCTCGACCGCACCAATGTCGGAAACGCAAAGGTATACAAGATGGAGAATGACATCAACATTTCCGATCACCAGTATGATACATGTCTAGTCATATACTATGCATTTTATATCGCTAGGTAAGTTGTAGAATCGTCCCGCGACTGATTCTGACTGGCTAGTGAAATACCGAGTAACCTGGTCTTGAAGAAGGTCTCGCCGAGGGTCTGGCTTCCCCTTCTCACAGCGGCCTGGGGAATCGTCGCAATGTGCCTTGGGTTCGTTCAGAACTACGCTAGTTTGATGATCGTCCGTGCCTTTCTCGGTGCGACAGAGGGCGGATTGCTTCCTGGGATTGTGAGTCGAGTATCTTTGGTTGTGCTTGTCTAACACTAGCAGGTTCTATATCTGTCGGGAATGTACACGCGCGGCGAGATGGCGCTTCGAATCGGTCTGTTCTACACCAGCGCCTCCCTATCTGGTGCATTTGGAGGGCTTCTTGCACGCGGCATCCACGAGATGGGAACTGCTGGGGGGTTGCATGGCGGAGGCTGGCGATGGATTTTTATCATCGAGGGACTATTTGTGCGTTTGTCTCCCGTATGATGGACTTTGCTAATCGAAAGAGACTATCGTTGTGGCGGGATTTGCATATCTCATTCTGCCAAACAGCGTCGACGATGCTCTGAACGAGGAAGAGAGGGAGTTTGCCAGATTGAGGCTTTACAACGACAAGCCGAAGACGATACTTGCGAATGGGTAGGTAGTGTTGTACCTTAGGTGGACTGTCTAACTTTTCACAGGGAGATTTCCATGGAATCGGAGAAATTCGCCTGGTCGGAGGTCGTGCGTGGACTCATGAGCCCGCAGCTATGGTTCAGCGCCACGGCGTATCTGGCGATTCTTGCCGCTTTGTATTCATTTGGGCTCTTTGTATGTCGCATTCGTCGAAGCTGGCCGTGTGCTGATTGTGGATAGTTGCCGACTATTATCGTTGGATTGGGGTATACTCCTAACGAAGCCCAGCTCTGGTCCGTAATTCCGTACGCTGTGGCAGCAGTCATTACAGGTATGTTCCCACGCCCTTTCCGTGGCTATTCTCACCTCGTCAAGTTGGCATAGCCTTCCTCTCCGACCATCTCCGCCTCCGTGGCCCGATCATGCTCGCGTCTCTGCCTCTTGCCATCATCGGGTATGCAGTGATTGCCAACGTCGATTCGAACAGGGTCAAGTATGGAATGACGTTCCTGATGGCTACTGGACTATATGCCAGCGTTCCCTGTATCCTCGGATGGATCAGCAACAACTCTGCCGGCCACTACATGCGCGCGACGACCACGGGCGCACAGCTCGCCATTGCGAATTGCGGAGGATTTATCGCGGCGTTCATCTATCCCAAGGTTCAGGGGCCAGAGTTCTTCATCGGCCATACCGTGATTTTGGGATTGTTGTGCTTTGCGTGGGTGATGTGAGTTTTCGAGTCAGGGGTTTGGTGACGAGCTGACGTTTGTAGGATCCTGCTCAACGTGCTGTACTGCGCAAAGGTCAATCGCGACAAGGCGAAGGGGTTATATGACGAATTTATCGGGTCCGGCGATGATCGTGATCCGCAGTTTAAGTTGGTGCTATGAGTGTAGGATTTAATATAATATAATGAATGATGGACATTTTAATTCTATCCTACTAGCTATACCATGTCGCATTGCGCTATAGTTTAAATGTACGTTGTAGGCGTGGAGATTATTGATAGCTACGCTACGGTGGCTTTGCGGAAGGGTTCATATGTCGATCTATAATCTCAGTCTAAGTCACGCTCCGATGCGTCGGGATGGCCGGGAGGGAATTGGATGACGCCGAGAGGCTGGAGAGACCAGTTCGGGACAATGAGGTGTGGGAGCGCGAGGTCGGTGGTTGCGACCTGATTCGTCACTCGGTGGCAGCAGCATGGCGAATTGGGATGGCGGAGGCTGCGGGCAGACAGGTTGAAGATGTGGAATGCCCTGTGGTTGTCATGCGACTAGAGCGCGCGTTTGACGAGGCGTTTATGCTTCTCCGGAACTTTGAGTAGTTGCAAGGATGGACCCTGCATGACATGGCGTATGCGGCTCGGCGGCAGATCAACTTGGGACGGACGACGTAGCGTTGTATCGGCAGATAGAGAATCAAATTCAAAGCTACAATTTACGAGTTGTGACGCGATGAGAAGCAGTAGGGGTAACCCTAACCCCTAAGCAGCCAATTAGGTTACTAAATGGTTACTATAATTATCACTATAACATAGTAGGAGCACTTACTCTTAAATTCTTAAACCAGCATCATCTCTACAGCTTCTTAAAGAGCTGTAAGTGCAGATGTCTAAAAGCATAGTTCTCTAGGGCTACTAAACTTCACATCATAGCAAATCTCTTAGACAAGGTATTAGAATGGTGCCTAGGGGATTATAAGCTTAGTAGACTTCTAGTAATAGTAGATCTTATAGAGAGCAACAGCTATTTTCAATTAGTAAAGATCTTATAGTAATCATTATAGTAATCAGCTTACTTCTAGCCTTCTAGCAACGTGCCTTCTTCTTCTTTAGTTATATATAGCTAACATTGTCTTTTTAGCAGTCTTAGCTAGTAAGTCTTCCTAGTGTTATGATATTAGCTGAAGCTACTCGAGCTGGTGGTGTTACAATTGCAGCTCACAGCTGCTAGCAACTATGGGAACCGCTAAGCGCACAACTGTATATAATGAGGAATAGCCTCACCACCTTCCTTTTCTTCTCCTTCTCTCTTTAGATTCAATCTAGCTTATTATTCTCCGGACTGGCTTCTTGACCTCCGTGACCATCGTAACATAAGATTGAATCTATCCTTTCTTTTGTTCTCTAAGCCTGAACCTTGATACTGAAATTCAAATTCCCTTATTTGAAAACCCTACAACCATATCCTGAAGTCGATTCCAGAACACCACAGTGTCATACTGACATTCGTTGCACTCAGTTTGCTATCAAACTCAAAAGAAAACTTAGAAATCTCCTCAAACCTACAAGTCACTATACATATTTTGGCTTGTCACACCAACAACAAGAGCAATACTACTCAACAATTGCTACAACCCTCTATGATTCATTACACGTCATTGCTCCTTAGTTACTGGCCGATATGACCACATAGCATATCTCTACAACTGTAAGGATGCCTTCTCCTCTCTCATTCTAGGGAGTAGACTCTGTTGGAGAAAAGAGGACGGGCACCGTGGGATACAGTGGCATTTTGGCCCTAAAACTGACGGCTTTTCCCAGTGTTACTGTCAGGTCCCCCAATTGGTGCTTGGCGTGAGCCAGTTTTGCCTCAGAACTCCGACGCACTAGGTTTTGGTAGAAAAAATATAATATTAATGCTTATTTCTATAACGTACATGTATAGCGAAAGCGCCAAACAAGCGAAAGCGCCAAAATGATGCGGTGACCAAACCCCCCAACTAAATGTTAAATTCCTCAACAACAAAACATGCCCCATAAAAACGATGAAAGCCAATTAGTGCTAGCTATCCAGGCTATGCAAAGTGACCCAAAGTTACGCCTTCGAGTTGCTGCTAGGATCTATTCTGTGGACCACCGCAAGCTAGGTCGTCGTCTAGAAGGTGTACCTTCACGACGCGATATCCAAGCCAACTCACGGAAATTAACTAACCTAGAGGAGTCCGTCCTTGTTCAGTATATACTCGACCTAGCTGCCAAAGGGTTTCCTCCTCGGCTGTCTGTTGTTGAAGATATGGCAAGTCGACTACTTGCAACACGCGACTCGTCACGCGTTGGGTCGCGTTGGGCTTCAAACTTTGTTAAGCGGCGTGTAGAGCTCCAGACACGCTTTCAGCGCAAATACGACTACCAGAGGGCTAAGTGCGAAGATCCAGAAGTTATTAATGGCTGGTTTGAGCTTGTGCGTAACACAATTGCGAAATATGGTATCGATGAAGCAGATATCTACAACTTTGATGAGACTGGGTTTATGATGGGCGTTATCTCAACTGCTATGGTTGTAACAAGCTCAGACGGGCGGGCAAAAGCAAAGAAGGTACAGCCTGGTAATCGGGAATGGGTTACAGTAATCCAAGGCGTTAGTTCTCAAGGTTGGGCAGTACCACCATTTATCATTGTTGCAGGCAAAAACCACCTTACATCTTGGTATGAGAATAGTGGAGATTGGGTGATTTCTGTTACTGAAAATGGCTGGACTACAAACGAGAGAGGCATGGATTGGATTCAGCACTTTGAGAAGCATACAAAGGCCCGGAGTGTTGGTGGTTATCGCTTGTTAGTCCTTGATGGTCATGAGAGCCACCACTCAGATGAGTTTGAGGAGTACTGCAAGGAACACAACATTATTACGCTTTGTATGCCTGCTCACTCTTCTCATCTACTCCAGCCACTTGATGTTGGCTGTTTCGGCCCGTTAAAGCAGGCCTATGGTCGGCAAATTGAAGATATGATGCAGGCTCATATTTCTCATATTACAAAGGATGACTTCTTTCCTGCCTTCCACGCTGCATTTAACACTACAATGACGGAAAGTAACATTCGAGGCGGGTTCCGAGGGGCAGGGCTTCTTCCATTTGACCCTGAGAGAGTGATATCTACACTTGATCTTAAGTTAAGGACACCAACGCCTCCAAGCTCCCGCCCAGGTACTGCTCAACCTTGGGTTTCTCAGACACCAAACAACCCAATTGAAGCTATGTCACAGTCTACATTTATTAAAACTCGGATTTCACGCCATCAAAATAGCTCTCCAACCTCAATCTATGCAGCTGTTGACCAGTTTACAAAGGGTGCATCGCAAATAATGCATCAATTAGCACTGCTAAAGGGAGAGAACCAAAACCTACGACAGGCAAATGGAGTACTAAGCAAGTGCCGGAGAGCTAGGAAAACACGACTACAGCAAGGAGGATCACTTAATCAACAAGGGGCGCAAGAGCTACAGGATGAGAGGGATGTTGTGCAGCAGGTAGAGCAGGAAATAAGGGCAAGCCGTGGTCGGAAGCCAAGGGAAGAAACCCGTGCCCGTCGCTGTGGCAAGTGTGGTGAGACTGGGCACAATGCGCGCACGTGTCAGATTGTAATAGACACCTCTGAGGAAGAGGACTCCGAGTAGTTTCAATTGATTTCTAATGTTGTGGTAGATTTATCGCAATGTTTGTCGTGAGGGTAGATAATTTTGGCGCTTTCGCTTGTTTGGCGCTTTCGCTATACATGTACGTTAGAGATAATGCTTCTATCTATTACATTTTTAATATTGGTAAGTTCACTTAGCTTTGATGATATATTAGGCCAAACTTATGCTATATATATAATAGCAATAGCGGATGCAGAATCTGCGATAGGTTTGGGTATACTAGTAGCTTTTTACAGATTAAGAGGAAGTATAGCTAACGTACATGTATAGCGAAAGCGCCAAACAAGCGAAAGCGCCAAAATTATCTACCCTCGCGACAAACATTGCGATAAATCTACCACAACATTAGAAATCAATTGAAACTACTCGGAGTCCTCTTCCTCAGAGGTGTCTATTACAATCTGACACGTGCGCGCATTGTGCCCAGTCTCACCACACTTGCCACAGCGACGGGCACGGGTTTCTTCCCTTGGCTTCCGACCACGGCTTGCCCTACCTCAAGAACTGGCCGTATCTCTGGCGCAAATTGGGAATCCCCACGCAAATGATCCCTGTCACGCAGGCGCGCATGGGCCATTCCTTCGCAAATATTCCTTCGCAAATTGGGGAAACCCCCCCCCCCTTTCCAGTCCCCAAGCGCGCGCGCGAACCTCTGTATTTCTTTAGTAGAGTAATTCTGTTACCCAGCCAAAGTCCCAGCATCGGACGTACGTGATGGCAGCTACTGCCAGGTTCCCTTACCTCCGGGCGCATGGCGTGCTGCTCTGCGCCAAGTGCCAGACCGGCCTCCCGCCCACGCGCGCTAGCCAGGAGAGGCACCTCAGGCAGCCACCACACCTACTGAAGGGTTCTCAGTTGCGAGCGCAGCTCGACCTCTTCGCGACATATGACCTCCGGCTGCCGAGCGAGGTCGAGCTGCCGCATCAGCCCTGCACACCCATTCCATGACTGCGGTGCCACGCGGCATTCGTGTGCGCCATCTGCGATGTCGACGGCCAGAGCCTGAGCCTTACGCGGTCGGAGCCAGCTATCAGGGCGCACGTGTCCAAGGAGCACGGGCAGAAGCCGGCCAGGCAGGCCGAGGGCAGGTCGTGGCGAAGGTGCACTGTCCAGACCTTCTTCGCTGAGACCCAGCACGTCCGGTACTTCGCGGTTACAGACGACGGCAGGGCGGAAGGGGACGCAGCTACTGCTGCCATTGCCCTCGAGCCGCAGGAGCAGGACTTCTTCGAGCTGGCCGAGGAGGATGCGAACATTGTCATACTGACATTCGTTGCACTCAGTTTGCTATCAAACTCAAGAGCAAACTTAGAAATCTCCTCCTCAAACCTACAAGTCACCATACATATCTTGGCTTATCACACCAACAACAGAAGCAATACTACTCAACGATTGCTGCAAACTCTTCTACTACATCTGTTTATGCTACATACATCACGGCATATCATTTGAACACTCATTGAACAAGTTATTAAGAAAATCTCCTCCTTAAGGGGGTGGGTCAATACTACCACATGGCATATCTCTACCAACTAGAGGCCTAGGAACATGAACGATAGCTCTAGAAGCTTCTACAACCCTCTATGATTCATTACACGTCATCGCTCCTTAGTTACCCACAAGATTGGTTAAGTTATGACATAATTTGTCTATAGGTACTCTGACCTTGGACCTCCTTTTCACTTCCTATAGGCTAGGAACCCAAGAGATGGTTCTATGGGATTCTCTTACGTTCACTACATGATTAGCAAGCTAGTTGTGGGTCGCACTTGATTTCTAATACATTTACCAAGCCTGGTTAGTCATGGAAAGTCATGGAAAATGAGAGAACTACACTCCTTTGGCATAAATAAGATTGCCCTTTCCTTAAGAAAGGGCAAGCAGGCAATACAGTAAATCGACTAGCACATACTTCTACGTCTTTTCCAAGCTTCCAAGCATTGATCTTGTTATTCTCTGTTTTTGAAAAGTCAGTGAGGTGCTAACCTCTGACTTACCCCTGAGTTCTCAGACTCAACATTTGTTGCAACTTGTCTAAACCACTTCACCACATCATACACCTGATTGCTGCGTTGTGGAATAGTCTAAGCTACAACCCTTTGGCTCTGTTTCCTAAGACAGTGTGTTGTCTTAGTAAATTCATCCCTTCCTTGGGTGGCTAGATTCTCATATCTGGTGCACCCACCATTACAAACATGGTCGCAGAGGACATCAAGACGGAGGCCAGCAGGGTGCACGGCTTCGACAGCCACCGCTCGGCCGTGGTCCCATGGCTGGGGCGGACGGGCATCGCAAACCACGTGCGGGGCCTGCAGAAGGACGAGATGCATGCCTCCTACACACTGCCAAAGAGCGCAGATGAGGGAGAGCCCGAGCTGTTGCTGATGCTCGAGGTCATGGACAAGATCCTTGCCGAGGCACACGGCTGGTGCTTTGACGGGCCGGACTGCATGCTGACATGGCCAAGGCAGCTCGCACTGAGCCGCTTCCGCGAAGCGCCTGCATCATCATCATCGGCGTCAGCCAGCTACAGGGCAGGCAGGGCACGTGGCTTCGACCCCAAGAAGGAGCCCTCCACACTGCGCACGAACTTTGGGTACTGGAAGCAGTTCATGACGTACTGCTACCGCGTGGCATACTGCGGCAGCCACTTCACGCCACCTACGCCTGCTGCAACGGGAGACGGGAGTGCGGACCAGGGCAGGTGCCCCGAGGACTGGATCCGGCTGACGGACGAGCAGACAGCGGCTTGGGAGGCAGCCCTGCAGTGCACCGCTGACGGAGACCGCCCAGCCCTGAACGACGCCCTCCGGTCCCTCTGCATGGCCCTCGTCTGCCACGAGTTCGGCGGCGACCGCTTCAGCTCGCCTCTCCTCAGCTTCTGCGCGATGCTCAGCGTCAAGCCGCGCACCAACTCGTGGAAGGAGCCGGGCAACTTCAACAGCTGCCTGTCTGGCCTGATCTGGGCCGTGCAGCTGCTCGTCTTCAGCACGGCCGCATACCTCGAGAGGTCGGGCGCCGGCAGCACGCTCGAGCACATCAACAGCATCTGCGAGCAGTACCTGTGGCCAGACACGGAGACGCCCATGGGCGAGATACTGGGCTGGCGCCTGCTGCTGTTCGCAGTGTCGAAGGAGGGCGTGGGCTCGCACCAGGCACATTGGGACGAGGACGAGCAGATCCTCACCTACAGGGACGTCGACCTGAACATGGACGAGGTGCAGCAGCTGCTGCTGTCAGAGTTCAGGCAGGCGCAGCAGCTGCTGCACGATGAGCTCATGTTTGGCGCAACAGGCCTGCCACGGATGCACGCTTGGGCGCTTAAGGACAACCTCGATGCCGACAACTTCGGCTGGTACTTTGGCGAGCACCGGGAGAACGTGGCACTGCTGAAGCCGTTCGCGGGCTCACTGCGCAACGTTATACAGGAGTCGCAGTCACTCCGAGCATCACTCCTCGACACCACTGATGAGGATGGAGCGGCTGATGCGAGAGTCGTGTGGCGACAGAAGGCCATCGACCAGTACGAGGCCGTCGCTGACGAGTTCCTCAAGCGGCTCCTCGTCCTCATCCACATGGCCTCGGGCCAGCCGCTGCGCGAGAGCGAGCTGTTGTCCCTCACCTGGCACAACACGCAGCGGAGGCGCAGCGTCTACCTCAAGCATGGGCTCGTGATGCTGCACACGACCTACCACAAGGGCCAGCAGCAGACGGGCAAGTTCAAGGACAACATCCGCTTCCTGCCGGCCACCATCGGAGACCTCCTGCTGAACTACCTGGTCTATGTCGTGCCGCTCCGCCAGGCCTTCCTGCGCCAGTCCTCCCCACGCGCAATCATGTCCGCGTACCTAACCTTATGTCTCTGCCGTTGGACGCCCAAAGGCATCCATTTTAGGTTAGATGTGGCCCGTGCACTTGTCTTGACACTAGTTGCCGATGGGCGCACAACGGCATTCTCTAGGGTTACGTTTTATATGGATTACTATAGCTATTACCATCAATTCCATCATGGCAGAACGTCAGAGCATCAATTCCATTCAAGTTCCAGTGACTTTGAGCCATCTGATCCAACTAAACGTTGAGTATAAGGTGTTGGTTTGTTTGAGTGCACATTGCTGCAAAGCAGTTAGCGGTGTAGGACTAACTGAGCACTTCCGCAAAATCCATAAGGAGAAACTGGAAGTTCGAAAGCAGATACAGCACTATATTCAGAGGGTTCCATTTGATTATAATTATTCAACTATCCAATTACCAGTTGATGGACTACCACCACAGCCAGTTATTCCAATAGTTGATGGATTCCAATGTCAGCATTGTAGGTATTATACAATCAGTCGAAGAGTAATGAAGGATCATGGCCGAAATAAGCATTCAATGAAACGGGTGGATGACAACCAGTTATTCCAGGCTGTACGGCTGCAGACATGGGTTCGAGATGGAAAGGAGCGATATTGGGTTGTGGATGAGAGTAGACAGGCTGAAGGAATGCAAGCGACGCATCAATTGAGTAAGTTGGATTCTGGCAATCTTTATAGTAATCATTATAGTAACCAGCTGATGATATTAGTACGCGACGTTGGAGAGCAGTCTAGCGATGATGTTAGTGAGGAAGAGCAAGCCAGCAACCAGGAAGGCGATGCTGAGGACCAGATCATACGCGACATCGAGCAGTGGAAGGAGGCAGCACAGGAGCGCAGGTTGACACTGCTAGCCAAGCCCGCGGCTGATGAGCTAGACCCATGGCTACGATACACTGGGTGGAACGAGGTTCTTCAGGAGTCACAGGTTGATATTATCCAGACATACAAATACGCGCGTGAGCCAGAGGAGAAGGAGACCAAATTACAACGACTGTTACGTGCATGGGATCGGATTCTTGAACGCTGTCTTGATACGCTAGCAAATATGGACCACAAGGATGTACTAAAGTGGTGGGCATCACCAAAGAATGAGGTTGCGAGCCAGCATCCATTCGAGCTTCACCAGAGCGTTCAGTCGGTTCATAAGTGTAGTGCAGTATGGCAGAGGTTCATCTGTTACATGATGAGGACGGCGACAGTTGACTGGGAGGATGATACAGGTATGTGGATGGTTACTATGGTGGTTACTATGGAAGAGGCAAACCCATCTGCGCAAAGCACACGGCGTCAACGAGTGTGGAGGGTTGGGTGATAGGATATATCAAACCCAGACTCGTGTGGGTGTTTACTATAGTAGTTACTATAGAAGACCCCAACCCATCCGCGCGAAGCGCACCAGCGTCCCGCAACGTGTGTGGAGGGTTGGGTGGTAGGATATATCAAACCCAGACCCGTGTGGGTGTTTACTATAGTAGTTACTATAGTATATGACCCAAACCCGTCCGCGCGAAGCGCACCAGCGTCCCGCAACGTGTGTGGAGGGTTGGGTGGTAGGATATACCAAACCCAGACCCGTGTGGGTGTTTACTATAGTAGTTACTATAGAAGACCCAAACCCGTCCACGCGAAGCGCACCAGCGTCTTGCAACGTGTGTGGAGGGTTGGGTGGTAGGATATATCAAACCCAGACCCATGTGCGCGAAGCGCACAGCATCACGAAACGTGTGTGGAGGGGGTGGGATATATCAAACCCAAACCCATCTGCGCGAAGCGCACGGCGTCACACAACGTGTGTGGAGGGTTGTGTGGTAGGATAAATCAAACCCAGACCCATCTGCGTGAAGCGCACAGCTTTACACAGTGAGTAGATGGTTACTATAGTAGTTACTATAGTATATAACCCAAAACCATCTGCGCGAAGTGCACATTGGCAACGTGTGTGAAGGGTTACTATAATGATTGCTATAATATTTACTATACTGACTTCATTAGAAACTGGCGTGGAATTCACCCATGCTCAGTGGCAGTCAATCCAACAGATCCATACGCACTTGCAAACTGAACCCAATAATGAAGACGATCAGGATCCATTACTCACAGCCGAATTGATGCGACTGTGCATGCTAGTCGTGATGCAGGACACTAGCAAGATTGGGCTGTACGAGTCACCATTGATGCATTACTTAGCTGTTCGTGGGATCGATCCACTTACCAAATCGCTATATCCACCACTTGCATACACACCAATACTTGGACGTGTGTTATGGATCACACGGCTGCTTATGCTTGAGATCGCAGTACCATTAGAGCCATGGCCAGAATTAAGACTCCAGAGCAAAGAGGATATTGAATCAATTCCCGAGCGAATCCACAAGCTACGGAGGACCCATCTCTGTGAAGGCTCATTCTCACCAACGTCAAGCATCTTGAGTCAATTAGCTATGGGGAAGAAGTATAACCAGCTGCATGAGTCGCCAGCGAACATCCACTGGTCACGCGATGAACAGACGATTTATTATCTTGGAATGGGAGTTGAGCTTGAAAAGGTTAGGGAAATGTGCCATGACTTGATAGGATTACTACAAAGATTACTATACAATCTGGCGTTTGATTCAGAGCTGCCCATGGTAGATTTGAGCCAGATCGTTGACAGCATGGCTTGGAACACGAAATTTCGACAGTCTGAGTACAGCTTCATCAACCATGTTAAGAATCGAGAGCGTACGGATGTAGGTTATCAGTATCTGCTTAAACGTGCAAGGAAGGGAAGCAAGGAGTGGCAGTTGCTTCAAAGAGCAGGCGATGGATCATACAAATGGAACGACTCACAGAAGCAGGCGTACTTGAATCAAGAGCGTCAGTTCTTACGAAAGTTGATGGTTACTTTGCATGTCACAGGTGGCCAGCCAGCTCGAGGACCAGAGATTGGATCGATCAAGGTTAGTAACAGTGTGTATTCAGCGCGGAACATATACGTCATTAATGGGCAGATGTGCTTCTTAACCATGTACGATAAGGCAAGAAAGAGGAGGGGAAACACAGATTACATTGTTCGGTTCTTGCCCAATGAGGTCAGTCAAGTGTTAGCACAGTACTTGATATATATCCGACCATTTGGCAGGGCATTAGACCAACGAGAGTCAGAGTACTTGTTTGGTGATAATCGAGGGCCATGGGCAGGAGAAGAGCTCACGCAAGCTTTAAGCAAGGCAACAAGTAAGGGGCTAGGTGTACGGTTGACAGTGCAGAGCTGGCGACACGTAGCCATTGGAATTGCTGTACGGCATTTACTACGAGCAAGCAAGACGTGGGAGAAGGACGATGAAGAGGATGAAGGAGAGTTTGCAGAGGGTGATGATGAAGAAGAGTTGGAGCAGAACACATTCCGACATATCATGGTTAGGTGAGTTTATAGTAATGATTATAGTAAGCGCTATTTATGGTAGTACCATAGTATGGTACTATTGTTTATAGTAATTATTATAGTAATCATTATGGTAATTAGTACTAACATTAAACAGACAATCAGGGCATGGGCAGAGAGTAGCCCAAGCTCATTATGCAGTTGACGGAGCATTCTTGCATCGACTAGGCCCAGAGTTAATCACAGCATATGAGCAAGCTTCAGTAGCATGGCACGAGTTGTTAGGGTTGGCACAGGCTGAGGGGAAAGGAAAGCATGGGCGACAAGCCAGCCAGCAATTAACACCAGTTGGCATCAAACGAGAGAGGAGAGAGAGCAAGCATGGGGTGAAGGCAAAGGCATTAGATGGGTTGCGACGGATCTATGGCCCACAAGCGCAGCCACGATCTGAAGGACAAGCTGCAGCACTACAACTTGTTCACCAGCCCCCAGTCACATCGATTATCGTGTTGCCCACAAGCAGTGGCAAGTCAGTGCTGTTCTTTTCAGTGGCTGCCATGGCTGTTGACCAGACAGTGATTGTGGTCGTTCCATTCACAGCACTAGTTGAAGATATCGTGGCTCGAGGACAGGCTGCTGGGCTGCACTGTAAAGAGTGGAGCTATAGTAATCATTATAGTAGTCAAGAGTTGGTGCAGCTGCTGGTTGTCAGTGCTGACCAGGCCGTCAGTGGGCAGTTTCTCCACGAGGCTAAGGGGTACGAGTTGAATGGGCAGCTAGCTCACATGTTCTTTGATGAATGCCATGTTGCATTTACAGATACATCATATCGAGAGCGGCTTCGAGAGCTGTGGAAACTACGGTACTTAAAGTGTCCATTTACAGCATTAACAGCCACATTGATGGTTGAGCTAGAAGATGTATTACGAGACAGGCTATTAATTGAGGATGCAGTACTACTACGACGGAGCACTGCACGGCCGACCATTCGATATCAGGTGCAGGATAGTAAGGAAGAAGCAGCATCTGCGGTCGGACTTCGATTACTAGAAAGACTACTATACTTGCCAGATGGGAAACGTGGAGTGGTTTATGTACGGAGCTATGCAACTGGCGACTTAATCAGCAGTGCTTTAGAGTGCTCATTTTACAAGGCACGCGCAGATGATAAGGGCGAAACACTACAGAAGTGGGCTCAAGGAAGTGGAGGATGGATTGTGGCGACAGGAGCATTAGGGACAGGAATTAATATTCCAGGGATCATATATGTGGTGCATATTGATAGGCCATATGGATTGACGAGCTTTGCTCAACAGTCAGGAAGGGGAGGAAGAGAGGGAGAGGTTAGTGAGTCGATAATCGTCACACTAGTACAGAGTGTAGGGGTAAAGAGTCAAGGGTTGATGAGCGAGTATTCAGTGGAGCAGGTGGATGAGGATGCAATGACGGAATATATCCAGAGCAGGGAGTGCAGGCGAGTAGTATTAGGGCACTACTTTGATGGGGTAGTAGAGGGAGTGAGCTGTGTAGGGTCGGACAGCGTGCTATGCGATTTGTGTTTGAGCCAAGTGGCAGTAAGGAAGAGAGGTGAGGAGGAGGCGATTACTATAAAGGTTACTATAAATGATGGTAGTAGGAATGATGGCAGGGAAAGCACGGGTGGCAGGATTCAGAGTAAGATGAAAGAGGTAGAAGAAGAGGAAGAGCAGATGAGAGGGGTGATGAATAGGTTAAAGGGGGGATGCATATATTGCGAGCTAGTATATGGCAAAGGGAGGCAGCACGAGTACGTTGATTGTATGGAAGCAGAAATGGAGGGATGTGGGATTGCAGGGTATGAGGAATGGCGTGGGGGGGT